CCTTTATCCAGGGCATACTGGGTCCAACCCGGCAACTTGAGGGAGGAAGAGACGTTTCCGAATGGCTTGGCCCCGTGCTCATTACTGCGGTCTCTGAGTCCAAGCCTCTTACGTCAAAGCCCGCCTCTGCGGCTCTCTCAGACCTACTTGACCGGGAGGGGCTGTCCATCGAGGCATCCACCTCTAGCGCAAATGAGGATGCGACCCGGATCTTGATCAAACGTGCTGTCTTAGCAGATGCGGCTCTTCAAGCCGTAATGTCCCTCCCCCGCGAAAAGCTAGACCGGTTCAGGCCTGTCAATGGAGATGGCGACGACGCAAGTCTCTTCGATGTTATAAAGGATGTGGTTCAAAAGTTTGGACCAATTGCACTCGACCTTGCGAAGAAGGCCGCTATTAAGTTTGGACCTCGTCTCATCAGCGGTGCCAGTTCGGATCGTCCAGGTCCTGAAACTGAAGGCCACCGTCTTCCGCAGCGGATGAAGAAGCCGTCATTGATGGATTATCTCAACGGTGAGCACAGGGCGAGCCCGTTTTGAGTAACGTTTGTTTGTGCCACTGCAGATGGACTGACTGACTTTACTGATCTGACTCGATCGTCAAGTGGCTCACGTGGAGTCCGACTGTTCAATGGGATGTGATGCGAGACAGGAGGAGCAGTCACATATCCTCAGCAGGATACACATCATAACTGTAACTTAAATTCTAATAAGCGATGATCTGAAGCCGTTATGAGCATTAACCTAGGTATTGATGACATCCCTCAAGAGTAACTTTTCTCAACGCAATCAATTATTGGCCAGTTAACCCACTCACCCTTCCAGGGTTGACGATCTCTGAACCTTTTACTGCAAACCAGTTCAGCTCAGAAGACCTGAGTAGCGTAGCAAACTTGACAACGTGACTATGATTCATGACGCTGGCTTTAGATCTCAAGATCTTTGTCCAATAAAAATCAATTCACGGAGCCTCCCGAAGAGATCGACATCGGAAAAATCATCTAGTGAAGCTTAAAATCTCCTGACATCGTGGTTTAAGGTTGAGGTTTACGAGATATTCGCACTGGTTGGATGATGACGAAAGAGGTAACTCCGCAGCCGGAAAGGTTTAGTGCTTACTCTGACATCGTGCCACTTTTGGACTCCGTCCAACTTAGATAACGGAGCGGAGAAAAGAAAGCCCGTGAGGGGTTTGCGGAGTTGTGGAATTGCTCAATTGGGATACCGCTCTCCTCCGAAGAGAACAATTCCGTTATGAAAACGGTTCTCCGTTGGTCGATTGTCGGCTTCTGATCCTGGCTGAAAATCCGAAACCATACTGACTGCAAATGGTTTGGTCCAGAGGACTTTGAGGTGCCCAGGTGCTCACGGCAAACTGTTGCCGTCCATCATTCTTACGAGAACTGATATTCATGTGCATGGCTGTTGGTTTTCAACCTCTTTCGAACCATACGGTAAGAAATGATCTGATGTTGAATGTCGAGTGTCGTCATTTTCAACCTGCCAGAAGTAGGCAAGGCAATGATCTACCATGACCCCTGAAAAGACCAGAGTCTAGAATGAAGGATCTATCACATGTAGGTCAAAGAATAAGCGCTCTTACGACGACCAGTCCAACAGATCTTGTATAAAAGCAGCCTGAAGGCAAAATGCAATGCCAAAAACCGATATTGAACCTATTGCCTTTCCGTTAATCTCCAACATGACTGAACAAGCTGACGAAAACGACAACAAAATAACTGAGTGCACCTTTCCACCTGGGAGCAGGCGCGTGGAATATGAAGACCTGGATCCCGCCCAAAAAGAACTCGAAGATATCTTGGCCACCATGAAGCATGACCCAACGGGCATGGGCATAAGCCATCTCGGCCGAGACGGAATCCACCGATCCCTCACTGCTGATCGCGATGTTGTCGATGCAGTTCCTTTCCCACCACCTCTCATCAAGGCAATGCTTGATCGCTTGCCATACAGCGAGGAAGCCGTCAAGGTATTCCGCGGAGTCGATGGGACAAAGACGCCGAAAGAACAGTGGTACAAGCCTCTGCCAGGAACCTTGCCTCCCCCGCTTGAGGAAAAACATCGCAAGGAGGCGAAGAATGGACAGGAAGACTATAGGAAATGGTATGAGGAGAGGATGAAAAAGGCTGAAGCGGGCATTTTGGAGAGGAGAGCAGTGTGTTTGATGTCGGATCATGACCTCGGCCCAGAGGCTATGAGTACAAAGTAAAGAGACATTAGGAATTGGTTGGACGACGTAGTAAGAGAGAGAGCTAAGCTCTCCGTGGTGATTACAAGCTCCCATCCGTATCAACATGCTTACCCGCCTGAGTGCTCCGAATTACGCCTGTCCTTGAACTGCCCTTTTCTACCTCCAAGTTAACTCTCGATTTGAGCGACATTGTCGGAGATAAGACACCATTCTGAGAGAATCGTACTTGACCCCTCAAGGGTCTGCGAGGGCTCCAAGCTAAAGTTGAAGATGGAAAAATTCACCCTCGTACCTTTTACTCTGACCGTGGTCCTTACTGCTTGCGAATGCCAGATTCCAGGCAAGAACCGATATGAAGATATATAGATACTTATTACGGCCTCGTATGCATGGTATGTCGATGAGAAGTCTCTGGTTCATATCTTCGAAACGCAATGAAGGATTCACCTTTCTGTGAAAACTGACGCAGCATTCCTTGCGGTACACCAAGTGCTATGAGGTTCGCCCCTACGCTGTTAGCAGCAGCTGCACTGAGAGAATTTCGCGGTAGTCCCCAGTAGATAGAAGTCGCGACTACAGTGGCCGTCAGCCAAACGGAGGATGTTAGGCCTTTGGCCGTTGCGCACAGGGAGTTAGAAACAGAGCGAAATAAATGGAAGGCCTAAATTTATTTGAAGATTCATTTTTCGTGTGCTGAATTACTTGAGATAAAGTCGATCGCTTCATGCTTTCACGATTGCGGCGTCCTCTCACATTTGGCGATTTTAGTGGCACTGCCAGGCACTGCCAGGCACTGCACTCCTTCTGTTCAACCTTAAAAATACATCTCAATCCAACTTCCTTTGCAAACACGCGCTGGCGAGACGGAAGCATGCCTCAGTGTCGCCTGTTGGGGTTACACTGAATCGCCTAAAGCGCCCAGCAGCGCACCGCTCGCTGCTGACCCCGCCAATTTTGACCCCCATCAACATCCGCGTGCTGAGCTGAACCTGAGAGAACCAAGGCCTTGCACCATTCGACTGCAGGCCGCAGCCGCCGTTCAGTATGGCATCAAAAAAATCCAGCAACAGTCACAGAAGACTGCGCTGTATTGTCAGCCATGGATTTACTCCTTGTTGTGTTTGTTGCTGATCTCGCGTTAGCTTTGGCCATCATGGTCCGCTCATCGCCAGCGGCGACAAAATCGGCCTTCGCACCAAGATAAAGGCTCAGCTCCGCTCGGTACAAGCGTGGGATTGTGATCCATGGATTGGCCTCACACTCGACTTTCCCTTGGGAAAAGACCAGAAAGCGAACGCCGAGGCCGGCTTTGGCGTGCGGTATGGAGGTGAGTGTCATTTGCAGAGCTGCCGCGGCGGAGCTAACTCTCATTTTACCCAGCCCCAGAACATGGTTCGCAAGATATGTAAAAGCTTTGCGATTACCACCAGATCCGAATCAAGTTTCCTCTCAGCTTCTCCTACGAAGTCCAGCAAGGACAGTCTCCGAGTACGATCACAAACGAGCACCTCAGCTACGTAAAGATACATTTCGGCGAGAGTCGAGCTGCAATCAAAGGCTTCGGTATCCCATTCGCGAACCAAGAAGACCACCAGGTTGAAAGCTGGATCAATGGAGATGCCTCCATCGCCGGACACTACGATCTTCAGGACATTCTCCAGCAGCGAACTCTATACGTGATCTTGCCCTCAAAAAGCAACCTTGTCAAGATCCTCGGCACTACTCAAGATTTATCGGCTTTCCAATACCCTTACAGTGAAGACTTGTCGAGGGACTCCAGTCGTTTTGAGAAAGAGCTCCGAGACATTAAGGGCCAACAGTTCGCGCCACTTTACAGGTGAATGAGGCCATCCTGGTCATTTCGTGCCATATTGACATAATACAGTCACCCCACAGATCTTTCGCACTTGACAGCTGTCAGCCAGTCTATTTTACAGGACACATCATGGTTACATGAAGCGGCAAAGTGAGTGGGACACACTTATACTGAGGTCGGTCTCCGGGACAGACAGTGGGCAAGGCGATCTCCCCGAATACCAGCCTACTTCTTCCGCTGTAAGGTACCGGATACTGGCGTCGAGGATGGTCTTCACCTTGTGATTCCATATGCTGAAGCCCTCGTGAAGACAATTGGCTCTGCTTGGAACCATCTCATCGAACAAAGGGTATTCAGACTGGAAGTCTTCACCTCATGCGTAAGTGAGAAATTCACTGTCGCAGCATGGTACGTTTGAGGCAACCCCCAAGGGCAGTACCCTTGCTTACATCCATAGGTTCTGTCGCATTGCATCTTTAGGAAAGTTAGATCGCTATGCCCGACATCGAAAGACGCTAGAGATCTGATCTTGGTTGTCAGGCCAGGAAGGTGTGAAGAAACCTTCATTAAAGAGATGTTAGAGCCCACCTCCCATCAGTGCAATAACTGCTGCTATGACCGCGATCTCGACAAGTTCAAAACGTTTGCCGACCGGCAGAGTGCCAGCGAGGCGCTGTTGAATGGAGAAAACAGTTGGAACTGCGTGTCTCTGATGTTCGAATCAAAATTGAGCCAATCTTCCAAACGAGTTGATGATGTTTTCTCGTTTCATTGTCAAGCGCGCCCATTCAACCCGGTTGCATGTGGGCTGCCGACACATAAAGAAAAAGATTACCTATCAGATTCCGAAAAAGGCTCATGTTGGCAAGAAATAACAGATACTGAGTATTACCTTTTCGATTTTGAAACAGACTTGATGTTAGATCAAATGGACGGAGAACAGCAGCTGCTCCTTGATAAAGTCAAAGACAAGATGGATCTACATCGATCTGTTTTACGTGGCGCCGGATTCTACGATTGGATGACCAAGACTGACAGCACCGGCAAATGGAGGCCACTCCCAACGATCAACATCCTTGACATTAACGATCAAACTTACGTCGACGCCGTCCTTGAGACGGTTTTGCTCCAGGATCGTGCGCGTTTCACAACTTATCTGAGCGATAGACCATTAGGCATTGGTATTATTACAGGTGTATGTAGTCTCACCCGATGCCATTACAAATACTGACTCTCAATGGAAAAAAGCCTCCAGGTGCTGGAAAAACGTCGATGGGTGCTACAGCAGCGCTGGCTTTGCACGCAAAGCTCGGGAAAGTCCTCTGTTCAGGGCCAACCAATACTGCTGTAGATGACTTTGCATATCGTCTTCACAAGCATACCTGGGATCTCACAGAAAAGCTGAACGCGGGGAAATCTGTTGATCAATCAAGCTGGTATCGTCGCAAGCTGATCGTTCGACCTTACTCATTCGACCAGGAGCTCAACGCCTTTTACATACTTTTGAAGAAGCCTGAACTTGGCAAGAAAGTTCTCGATGACTGGAAATTCACAGGAGAACCCAACAAGGATGTCGATTGGAAGCTTCAGCTGTCTGTCGCCTACTGGCTTCTCCTTCTCTTGGGGTCACCTGCTCTTGATCGCGTCCTAGGACCTGAAGACAGCCTAGCTTTACATAAGATGCAGCAAGACATTGACGGCGACGAAATCCTCGATCCAATACGACAAGTCTTCAGTGGACATATGGGGGACTTTCATGACCGCTGCGAATTTAGGCAACAACTTGAAGATATCTTCCAATATCTCCAGAAGATGCTAATTGACAGAGCGGATTTTCTTTGCGTGACGCCAGGTGGTGCCAGAGATTATTTCGGAGACGTATCCTATAAGTGGGATAAAAGATTCGCAAAAGGTGTTGTAGTGGATCAAGCAGGAGTGATGAACAGGCCTGACCTCTACAATGTATGGGGAAACACGTTACGTCCATGCTTCCTTATCGGGGACACAAGATCGGAACAGCCGACAATTCAGACTACTAGTGAGAAAGAACCAGGTTCGGAGAACTATTACAATCGATTTGCGGGGGATGGCCAGCTCTCTGGTCTAGAGTTCCTCCAGGCGTCTGGCCTTCCAGTCTTCCGCCTCGATACACAAGTTCGTATGGCCAAGGGCATGTACGACTTGGCTGCCCAAGTATTCTACCCCCAGCTCCCGCTTCAGTATCACCAACGCGACCACAACATTACAAACCAGCAACCCGATGTCGGACGAGAGCTCGAGGCCTACGTGCGCATGAAGTATCCAAAGTTACGCAAACCGCTAGGCGGTATTCTACACCAGCCATTGTTCATCCATCGACAAAACTCAACGATTTACAGGGACGTAGACGGCTCCCAGGCATGCCAAGAGCAGGGCAGTGCCGTATTGAGCTTCGTTGCTGGGTTAGTCACCCACTCAGCCATTGATCCCACACAGATCGTCATTCTTACACCTTGGTTTGCCAATGCCGCACTCATCGAACGCAAACGCAGCCAAAAGAGGTTCGAACTTTTGAAGAATATGTCGGAAGCCGCCACCATCGAAAGCTATTGAGGAAGAGAGGCCGATATCGTCGTCGTGGTGCTGTCCACCACGCGTGATACAGGACCCGACATCACTGCGAATCAGCATTTGCTCATCACCATGCTAACCCGCCACAAGAGCGGATTGGCCATTTTTGGGGACATTTGTACGAGTGGTGTGATCGGGGAAGACCGTAATGAGAAGCTCTTCAAGATCAGCAAACCTGGGCAAGAGCTCAATGCGCTGCAGAGGATTGATGAGACGCTTTTTGACGAGGGGCGAGTTGTGGTATTTTCTACGAAGCTGGGTAAGTAATGAAGAGAGAGACAGCGCCGTAGGAAGTTGCGGATTGAGTTGATGAGTAATGGAGGCCCTAATGTTGTAAGATTAACAAATCCTTCCTTGATGGTTTGGAGGTACTATGAGATAGATAATGCCAAGTTTCATCCCAATTGTCCGTTGATCAGAGGCATCTTGTAGCAAATGGTCTTTTTAATGGAGGAATTCCAGTCGTTTCTCATAACATAGCCTAAATAGAGGTTTTCCTTGATTGCAGAGCATCCATTCGATCCCTGAAGCTTTCTCTGTGCTCGAGAGTGGTTGAACGAGGTCTAACGCGAGTAACAGGTTACGGGACTTGGGACAAGCACACACTTGCTTTATCCTCCTGTGAATATCGGAGGAACACTTGGTTGCGAGGTTTTCGGCAAATAGGTATGTTGTGCCAGGCAAACTTTGGTCAAACTCGCTTGTTCAACGAAATGGGGGCGGGAGATTCAACATGGATGAACGTACACTTGTGACACCCAGAAAATCTCGTGCTTTTGCTGTGTTAGTTAATTCTGATAGGTGAATTACGTATAATCACATATATTTTTGTCGCATATAAAACTCACGTTGACGAGTTTCAGCCTACAGCGATTTCTGTCTTGCCTGCTGAAATGCCACCTCTGAAGATGAGCCAACCAGCGAGCAACTAGCATATCGCCTCGGAATGGAAGCAGTCGAAGTCAATTATCACTAAGGTGTGTTGATTTGCCACTATAAGCGTTGGGCGGTATATGTATTGTTTGTTAAAAAGTGCCCGGCTTTGATATCACATGTCTGCCTTTCTGCCTCGCCACATCAAAAGATCAACCCGAAGAGGGAACAGCGGCATATTACACAAACACGGGCTAGTACGACCGTTCGTAACTCAATTCATCTCGCAAAGGTGTCCCGATTGAGAAGATCCTCTATATTCGTTTCTTTCTGGGCCATCACTGTCGTGCAACAATAACTGCAACAGACCTTCTGGTCCTACCAAAGTACAGCTCAACCGGTCAATCTTTCAGACGAGTAGTTTCGTTTCTTACGGGCCGGCGCTCCCTGGTTTTGCGAGGCCTTGGGATATATTTGTTCAGGGTCCAGCTGATTGTGAGCCTTCGATTAATGAATGATGAAGGTCATAGTGCCAGATTCGCTTTAGTAAGTCTTGAAGAAATTTTCACCAAAAGCCAACATGTCAGATTTCAGCAATGAAATGAACACGGAAATCGCGTCTGCCTCCTGGGAGCAATCGCCAGGCGCATCTTCTTCAACACCGACCAGCAACTCAGCAGGCCGACAGCCCCAAGAGATCCAGACACGAATCTCCACCAGCCTTGTCTCCTGGTATGCCCTTTGTCGCCTAGGTTATGAGTTTCTCCAAGAAGGAGAAACCTTTGTAATATCCGGAGCTCTAGGAAAGATCGATTTAGAAGAGCTCTTTAGATACAGTGAGCGTTATCAGAAGGCCGATGAGCAGGATCAAGGGTCGCATCCATCAGTACATCTTCCAAACGAAAGGATTTCGCTAGAAGTCGAAGATGACGACAGACCGCCTCATTCTTCCCGTGTTGCACCCTGCCCACCAGCGCCTAACAGTTTTAATACTCACCCCGCCGCGCCCAGCGATACGAGGAACTCAGTAATGAGGCCATGGGTAAATCAACTTCTGGTGTCGGACACAGTTCGTTTGGGTGACATCAAGAAGCAACCGCGTGGTTCTCGGGGAGGAGAAAGATCCTCAGATACATATAATGCCTGGGTTAACCCGAGGTCTCTTCTTCAAGATGGAGAGGTTTCTACTAAATTAACCACGATCTACAGTGCGCATTGCTATCATGAGCACAAAAGATCCCACAAAACTATTCTAAGGTGTACCCCAGAACAAAAGGATGGAGTTGGTATAGGGAGGATGAGGTGGCTGTAAGTTTTAATTGCCATTTACAACCTCTAACTTTCTGAGTCGACTTGTTACTAATTTTATAGCCACTTACATGGCATCAAATCAGACTTAAGAACCTTAGAAGTGCGCATTTCTTTACATACCCTTTGTATGACTCTATCGTTTTGTTCTCTACTAACTTCAATAGAGTCTTGTTGCTGACTCCCCATTCATATGCCTTCAACTCAAATGTGTTGCATTAAGTGTTCTACGTGAATTAATGCAGAAACATGCTGAGTTTGAAGGTAAGAGTCCACAGCTTAACACAGGAACTCTTCTAAGACAGGTAGGGCGTAGCATATGGGCCTCCGAACAAGGGGACCTTAACGGAACCCAAGATACTGAGCCTGTAGTTTTTCTGTCAACTCCTTTTCTTACACTGCCAAAAATGGCACTAGAAGATTGCACAGAGAAAAAATACACCAGAACGCTGCTCGAGTTTCTTTATGGTTTCAAAACTGGCGGCATTCAGGAAACATCATTCAGCAATTCAAATTCAGGAGGCCGAATATCCAATCTTTCACGCATTCTAGATATCCCCGAGGCGCTATTCTTGATGATTGGCGGAGGTAAATACCCTTCAGCAAATGCAGTTTTTCAGTGACCTAAGTGCTTCCAGGGACTTTGATTAGCTCCTCCATGTTATCATGGGAACAGATGATGGCCGGTACTGTCAGTGTCGACATCAGTAGCGAGATCCAAGGTATTTGGCCAGTCGTTTACAGAGTTCGCATAGCAAGTCCCGACATTTACATCATCGTCGAGGAAGGTTGTTCTTACTGGGTTTGTTTATTCTGGCCCCATAGCCGGATTACTCGTTGACCAAAGGGAAAGGAATTCAGGCAACTTGTCTTCAAGTCGTCAGGCAACTATGGCCTGGACATTGACGATTTCCATCTCGTCGACGAACATGAGCACAGCGTTGATTCTACCACTTGGTTAGGATACTTGACATCAGGAGAGGTTGAAAGACACTCTTTCAAACTGGTAAGAATTTCTGCCGAAACCTCAAGCAAGGTCCCTCGAGACCCCGGTTCGAAAACTTTCAACGATATTGAGAATCAAGACATCGAAGAGACTTTTGACGAAGAGAGCTCCGATGGAGCAACTTTTGAAAGAACTATGGAAGCCGCGAAACAGATGTTTTGCCGAAGTATAGGTGAAGGGACCCTTGTTCGCAACATGCCGCTAGTGCTCCCAACACTGCCCTCGATGCCTTTCAACAATCTGGTCAAGAATCACATTCCATTCTTTGCTTGGCCTCTGACCCAGAAGACTGGCAATAGTTCCCACGCAGATGGTACGATGGCTCTCACTAGATTACTAGCTATGATCGATCAATCTCTTAAAGAGTTTGGTATTACTAAAGACTGGCATACGTTTAGCACGAGAGATGAAGTGGTCTACAAGTGCCGGGTCCTGCGATCAGTCATAGAAGAGGGTCGATACATACGAACACAGGAAGCGAAAGACCCTCTTCCGTACTCACAACCTCCCAACCCAAATTGCATGCACAGAAACCCAATATCTGAGATTCTTGCCACCATTCTGAAACTGTCAGAGGAGATTTTTGATCTCTTTCTTCCGCCAGCTGATTGGTTCCTTTTCCCGGCTATAGGTGCTTATTGGGGCACCCTGGAATCGATCATGCGTGTAAGCCTCTGAATACCCTTACTCTGAATGCTGGCTTGCTGATGGCATTGTTCAGCAAATATATCTTTCATCACTGCGAACAAATACATTCCGTCAGCAATATTCTTTCCTGATTTCGAAGGATATTCCAACTCCGAGTTCTGGTTACACATGTCTATACATGAAGGCATTACCACCTCATGGCTGTGAGGATTGCAACAAAGATACGGTGTATTCTTCTCTATCTGGCGCTGTATCCCACTTGCACAGATATCACATCCATTGCACCGCTGGAGATCGAACTACACTCAATGACCCCTGCGTGGCATGTGTCAAGTGGCAACCTTTCAATTTCGAACCAAAGAACAACATCGTGTCTGTTGCATCCAAACTCATTGACACCTTGACTGATGTTCGAGAAAGAACAAAAGAAATTAGCCTGTCCGTCAGCGGCAAAGAAACACGCGTCCCAGCAAGCATCGTATCTTGTTATGAAACTATCATCACTTTATTATATGTCACTGCAAAAGAGCTCTCAGCGATAAATTGTGAGCGTTTACAGAATGTAAAGCGATCAAACGGGTACCGGCTATGGCAGGGAGTTGCTTCACGCGTTCGGACTCACAACATGGAATCAAAGTTGAAGTGCCAGCTTGAGGACGCCAGACGAGACGTGATGATGCCCAGCGAGACCCATGCCGATACAGATCGCTTTACTATCTCGCCAATAGGCCTTGAGTTTCTACTTATAACCCTACTACGGAATGTCCATGATCATCCCTTCTATTCAGAGACAAATCAGAAGCTGGATGTAGTCAGGCATTGCCGTGACAAGTCTACGGCTCTCCGGTTTGCTGCAGTGCGTGACCCAAGACGTCGTAGATTCCTTGAGATATCTGCTCTAGAGGAGGAAACAGAGGCTTTGCGGATCATTTTCGAGGTCCAAATACGTACGGTCAAGGCCTATGATCAGGTTCTGAGCCCCGATTTCTTCCCAAAGGGCACTACAGATCGGGTAGATCTGGGACACCGCAAGGATATGTACGGCCTGGAAAAGAGGCACTTGGAAGCGCAAATACAAAGTCTTGCTGAGGATGGGAAGACCCTCGAGGTATTACAGAGGATCCTGACCGCTACAAGACACGACATGAAACAAATGATTGAGGTACTCGACGAGGGTCATGGAAAGGCTATCAGAGTGTTTACCTTCGTCACGTTGTTCTTTCTTCCACTGTGAGTATCCTGCATCTGAAATACATATGCCCACTGATCTGATGATATGCAGCTCGTTCGTGACGAGTTTCTTCGGGATGAACACTACAGATGTCCGTGAGCTAGACAGAGACCAAGGGATATTTTGGTCATCCGCGGTACCATTAACTCTGGCAGTGTCTAGTCTCGCTCTTGTGTTTGGGTATAAGTGGGACACAGTCACCGCATTGTTCTTCAAGGCATTCAAGATTCAAGATTCATCAAGGGTTTTCAAAGAACTGGAAAACGATCCACTTTCTCAGCTGGGTGCAGATAATGCTAGGACTAGTTGCAAAACCGGTCTCTCCTCGACATCAAAAGCTGGAATATCATCAAGGTTCGGCTTTGAAAGTAGATGGAAAGGGAAACCGTGGGAGAAAAGGATACCAGAGCGCTTTAAGGGATTGGAAGGAGTTTAGCGTTACTGCACCGTAACTGTATCTACCAAGATGTCGACATGTCGAGAAATTTTGAATCCAGTGTTAACGGTATATTCACCAGTAACAGCCTCCTTCGCCACCACAAGATCACGCCGAGGTCTCACAAATAACCATCACTTGTGTCCTGCCGAAAGTCTCTCTCAAGTCATTATACTCGGCTGTTTGCTCTTTATTGTTTCCGGACTGAGTTCTTGCTCAAATTAGGAAATCTGAATGAGTTCGCTCGATAACGATAGAGCGTAAGGACACGTTTGGGGGCGCCGATAGGGCGTAGATGATCGTGTCGACGACGCTCTTGTTCGTTATGCCCTCATCAAAGCTACGATGCTTTTGCCACTCCGCACTAGTAGGCGACACATCCTCAATCAATCCGGGATAAACTGAAGTGACGCGTACCGATGTACCTTTCAGTTCCTCCACCAAGCCCTGTGTAAAGCCATCCTGAGCAGCTTTTGCGGCTCTGAAGGGGAGTGAAGCGCCCGTGAGCCTTGCGTACTGGAGACCAGACATGGACACGACGTTATGAACGTCTGCACGTGGTCGTTGTTTCAGTAAAGGCAGAAGCTGTCGTGTCAAGATCATGGTACCAGTGACTGCTGAGTTCACGACCGACAGGATCTGATCGTCGGTTTGCTTGTCGAAACTGCCTTCGGTAAAATGGGCTCCATTGTTGACCAAGATGTCAATATCAGAATGCGATTCGGCTATCTCCTTTGTCGCTTTAGCCACGGAAGTAGGGTCTGAAAGGTCGCAGATAATAGGGTACGCTGTTCCGCCGCTGTTACTCTTGATCGTCTCGCTGACTTCTTGCAATGCGCTCTGGGATCTTCCCAGCAATATCGGAGTGGCTCCCTGAGAAGCAGCGACGATAGCCAACGCACGACCAAGCCCGCGGCCTGCACCTGAAATCACGATTTTTCTACCTTCCATGCTAGGCGGCGGTGGTTGTTATGAGAGGTAGCTCTGTGTAGAGGAAATTAAAGCGAAGGACCGTGTGATAAGACTCTCATGGCTTACAAATCAATGACGAAAATGTTTCTCATTTCGAGGGCAAATGCCTGATCGTGACAAAGTTGAAGTTTGATCCGATGACAAATCAAGGTGTTCCGCTATCGGCTCGGCCAGGCCAAGGCACGTTTTGGGGCCGATGCTTTTCAGCTAAGGCCTTGGCCTTTTGTATATAATCGAGTCTTATTATGGCAACCGGAAACTGAAAATTAGCGTGGAGATATAGCTCAAGATGCAGGTTCATGAGGTCCATCTTAAGATGGTATTCTGCTCACTTGACTACCTCTGTCACGCTGACAAACAAGCTACCATGAAACTGGCTTGTTCTGGCATCTCGTTGATGAACTATATTAAGGGTCCCCCTGAAGTGATGATTCCGGTTGCTGTTCTTCCAGTTGGGGACTTTTTATAAACTATGGCTGCCAGGCCATTTTCTCATTATCTTGGGTTTTATTGAGTGATGGCATGCCGTCAACCAGCGATGACTCTTGTTGGAGAGTGAGGATTTTAAGTGGGACTGAGCCAATTTCGCGGCGGCGAGCAAAACAATTCTCCCGTCAGATCAAGAACAATTCTTTCTTCTTCTCGGTTCGTATCGTCCGTCGCAGGCTTAGCAAATAAGACATGAATAGACTTCTGGGTAGCAGTCGACTTTGCGCGCGCCGTGCAGGCTCCTTCGCGATCCCTCAATCGCGTCACGCCACTTTGATCAATGTCCCCTCAATCAGTATCAGCCTCCAAAAACATCGGACGAGCAGCCAATGCTGTAGCAAAAAGAGCGCCTCACAGCCATCGACTCCACCATCTATAACGTCTAGCGATTTTTGGTCCTTAAAGTCAGCTTGGAAGAGGGCTTCTGTCAACACTACGCGATGCCTCATCGGCTGTACAGTCGGTGACTTTGCAGCCATGTGGTTTCTCCAGGCCTATTATCCCGGGCTCAGTATGGGAATAGTGATGCCAATCTCAAGTTAGTGGCCAATCAACTTGGACAATAGCAAAACTAATAAAGCAGTGGCCTCTGGTGTCTCAACGTCCATTCTTCTAGAGACGGTAATGCTACGCATCGGCCGTGATGGCTTGACCTGGCTTACGGCGATGAGGACAGCTGTCGGCATGAGTCTGATCTCCATGTTGACCATGGAAGCAGCTGAAAATGCTGTGGATTACTACTTGACAGGAGGGCAGGTTGCTCTTGATGACCCAGCATTCTGGCTGGCTGCTCTGGTGTCAATCGCAGCGGGCTTCCTGGCGCCTTTGCCGTACAATTACGCGAGGTTGCGCAAGTACGGAAAAGCCTGCCACTGAAGACTCTACAGAACCATCTTTCGCCTGTATTGAAGCCTGTAATATCACGCGTGTTCCTTCATTAATTGCAGATGTACAGTAGATGAAATCCCCATTCTTCGTATCACAGCTGTTAGCCCAGATTGTGTTGAGCCTGTTAGCATTTTCGGTACTCTTTTTCCGGTCTCGCCAGGCCGGGTCATTATGCCGTGATTGGTGTTTGCCAAGCTTTGCTATGACTCCAAACCCGTCAGTTCTGGCAGAAAAGTAAGAGATAACAACATATTTCATCATGGTTCGAATAGGGCTGGCATTTCGATGCGGAAAGACTGGCGGCTCAAACCTTGTGCAGGATAGTCAATTGTGTTCTCACAGGGCACAGAGAATGAGTGCTGACATCCTGGAGCAGCCTCAGCAAACAAACCCATGCATTCATCTCTCAACCATCGGCTTCAGATAACAAAACGCCGCTTATAAATATCATCCAATCTACCCCAGAGCCCCGCCATTTGCCTCAGCCAAGAAATCTCCAGATAAACAACCCCAAGAGATCTAGCCAAGCCTGGCGTTTTATCTCTTGGAGTCTCGACCCTTTTCCGGCACGTAGCGCGACACGTGAACCATCGGAGCTTCATCAGTCTCCGAACCATTTTGCGTGATAGTATTGCCATGAGAGCGAATGCCCGGCACAAAAAGTAGACTCCGTAAAAGCTGTTTGTCTCTTATCTCATCTTGAGTTAGATCTGGGACGGAAAGTTGCCGTTTTGTAGCGCCAATGAGGTTTGTCCTCGGATGTTGGAAGTAATGGTGGTGTCATTGGGATGATGATCCAGGGCTGGATTAAGCATACTTTATGCGTAAAAGACAATGACTCGTAGCGCGGATCTGCAAATTTGGGGTTCATGCACAGCGGGCTGTAATGAAGGCAATGAGATTAAGACCAGATTGATAACAGAGTAAATGCACTCACTCATAGACCTTAATAACTACCCTTTTCTTAGGTCGAATGCGCGTATCGACATGCAATAATCGCTATGACCATCTCTTCATTCTTGACTGGATCTAGAGTCGCATCGGCCATCCCATCAAATCTAATGGTTCCCCAGTCTCACTCACCATCTCCACAGCCATAATCCCATGCAGCGTCAAATGAGACACTATACAGTTGTCATTAGCGTCACTCTCCCCTCCCAAATTAACCTTGAAAGTAACCTTTTTCTTCCTCCGGCCTCTACTTCTGTCTCCGGAGGCCATTTACCCCAGGTTTACCACCACTTCCCCAGGTTTATTCCCCGCCCCCCGCGAAGATCAACGGCCAGAACCCATAAATATAGAGAGCCTGGACCTCTACGAAAATTTTCTTCTTCACGCCAAACTCACCAACTCATAAAGATCAACAACAATGGCTACCACTACTGACCAGAAGCGCGAGGCGCCTGAGTTTGCGCATGTCAACAGCATTCTCGAGGATGAGAAGCCTTCACAGGTGGAGGAGCGAGATTGGACGGGTACTGCCAAGAAGACAGACCCTGAAGAGATCCGCCTTGTCAAGAAGCTTGATCTCTGGATCATGGTGAGTGATCAACGCGCCAATGCTTGGCTACCAAACTGACATTCGCAGCCTTGTCTTTGTGTCATGTACTTCCTCAACTACGTCGATCGAAATGCCATCGCTCAGGCACGATTGAATAACTTGGAGGAGGATCTCAACATGACTGGCACCGAATTCAACACGACTGTTTCGATGTATGTTGACACGACTGTCAAATCTTGGGAATAATGCTAATGATTTTAGCTTGTTTGTTGGTTACGTTCTTATGCAGGTCCCCAGCAACATGTTGATCACCAAGGTCAAGCCTGGTATTTACATGAGTGCCTGGATGCTGGTTTGGGCTGCTGTCTCTGCCTGCACTGCTCTTGTCAAGAACTACGGCGGATTGGTCGCTTGTCGATTTTTCCTGGGTATCACTGAGGCTCCTTTCTACCCTGGTGCCACTTACATTCTCTCCATCTTCTACACCCGCAAAGGTCAGTTCTTCGCTTGTGAGAAGTATGCAAGATACTGATGTGAACCAGAGGTCGCTGCTCGTATTGCCGTGCTTTACTGCGCTCAGATTCTTGCCACTGGTTTCTCCGGTCTCATTGCCGCTGGCATTTTTGCAGGTTTGGATGGAAAGGCCGGTCTTGCAGGATGGCGATGGTGAGTTCCTCGGCCTCTATCTTCAGAACCGTCTAACAATTATAGGCTCTTCATCATCGAGGGTGCTGCTACTGCTCTTGTCGCCATTGTCGGCTTTTTCATGCTCCCCAACACTCCCCTTACCACCCGCTGGCTCAACGAACGCGAGAAGCAGCTTGCTCACGAGCGCATGGAGAAGGACAAGGCCTATGATTCTGAGGAAGGCGGTTCAGCCTGGGAGGGCTTGAAGCAGGCCTGCGCGGATAAGCGAACATGGCTTTTCTGCCTCATGCAGAACTTTCATCTTTCTGCATGCTCCTTCAACTCCTTCTTTCCTACGTGAGTGATCCTGGCTTGCTTTGCTTGTCCACAGCTAACAGTGTCGTAGCGTCATCAAGACTCTCGGCTTCAACACTACCATTACCCTCGTCATGACCTGCCCTCCTTTCATCTTCGCTGGTGCAGCTGGTATCCTCTTCGGTTGGAACTCTGGACGCATGCATGAGCGTACCTGGCACATCACTGCTGGATTATCTATTGCTGTTGCAGGTTTCGTTCTGGCAGCCTGCACTCTCAACACCGCTGCTCGCTATGTCGCCTGCTTCATCTTCCCCATGGGTGCTTATGCTGTCAACTCTGTCATCATTGGTTGGGCATCTTCAACTCTATCACAGACCAAGGAGAAGAAGGCTGTTGTCCTGGCAATGACCAACGTCGGTGGACAGGTAAGATGCGCAGCTCTCTTGTTTCATCACACATACTGACTTTGGTATAGATCGGTTACATCTATGGTGCCTACCTCTGGCCCAAGAGTGACTCTCCTCGATATGGAATTGGTTTCGGTGCCTCTGCTGGCTTTGCTCTGTGCTCAATTGCATGCGCTTGGGCCATTCGTGTCCTCTTGATCCGCGAGAACCGCCGCATCCGCGCTTCCACCTCTGAGCAGGTCAACCTTTATGGATACTAAATGTGGAATGAGAAATGAATAACTTGGTCTATATATCTCGGGGATTTCTGAATAGATAATGTTCCGAAGACTCAGCTCCTGTTACCGTGAATGTCGACCCACGTGGAATGGATTGAGGGCAGTTTTTCAGTTTGCAGCATGCAGGCTGAGCCGCAGACACTTCTCATTCGTTGTAAGCACACTGACGCAGTTGGCTCAGCCGAGAAATGTCTATTGGCTTAGGCAACATAGCATCATCATCTTGGCTGACTGGGTAGCCCAGCTCAGCCCCGCACGGTTGCCTAACTTGGAGCATGCGTTAAATACCCAACTTGGCTTGAGATAAGCCCGCCTTACTCTTTCAATCCTTAGGCTTCTTTCTCCCCATCGACCAAGATGGCCAACCTACTTCGCCAAGATATCCTTTCCAAGACCCCAATTCCCCAAGATGCAAGCCCTCTCTATGCCAAACTCCCTGGAGAAGTCAGAGACAGCATCTTCTCTTATGTCCTCACGGATCACCCGGACCCAGCACCAACCAAAAAGTTCAGGGAAAACACATGCTACACTCGCCCCTCCTATCTAGCAGCTCAATCAACCGATACCCGGCTTCTTCGTACATGTCGCGCTATCTATCGCGAAACTTGGTTCAAGCCATTTCTCCTACGAGAGCACACAGAATGGGCTACAGGCGAAGATCGTGCTCCTCCTCCTGACAAAGCTCCCCCACGTCTGGACCTTATGCTCTCAATGATATCCAAATCTCTAGGCACAGACAATGTCGAGATCGAGAGACTGAGAGTCTTTGCTCAGATGTACAGACTCGAAGATCACGGCTTGGAACACATCCTACATATCCCCCATCTGGCTCCCCGCACCATAACGCTCACCATCCGCCACACCGATTGGTGGTATTGGGAGGAGGACGAGCCCCTACACATTGAGGGAAACTGGATCGAGGGTGTTTGTCAAGTGCTGACTCCTAGTACGACTCAATTTTGCATTGAGCTGGAGTCCCTCGAACGGAAGAAGGATCAAGTCGACAAGATCGCCAAGCAGATGGTCGACGCCTGGTTCTTCAAACGACCCGACGGTGTTGTTCTCTACGCAGATACATCAGATGCCAACTGCAAAGTAAGTCGCTGGAGCGGTTCGAGCACTTGGCACGGTCAACGCTGGACTCGAGATGAAACAGAACCCCACAAACTCGACTACTACATCGTCTCCATCACATTCCGTCCTCTGATTTCAATCGAGAGAAGCGGTGGATCTGTAAGCGAAAGGGCAATCAAAGAGTCAAAAGACCCTCAAGCCCTGGATCGTCCCAAACTCTCGCTTCCGGACAACCAAGAGAGAATAGAGACCGAGAGCCCATGCGAGCTGGTTAGTGATTCAGATGGTGAGAGCGATTCAGACGAAGCATATTGTACAATGTTTGATTAACCCGAGTACAGGGGATGCAGGATTTACGGGCTTTGAGCAAGATTCGGACAATGATGAGTGGTATGCGCAAATGGAAGAGATATACGGCAATGGTCGTTTCATGAACGGGCTGTATGTCGGGCGCCTGGAGTAGTGTAAATTTTGTCGTTAGCTGCCTTATTTCATAAATAAACTTTGGTCAAACGGGTGCTATCAATTGAATTATCGATAAATTCCCAAAGTGCCTCGTTTTATGCTGCTTCAGTCCATGCCTAGAAATCTCAAAGTGCGGCTGAAATTATAACCAACCACCAACCTCAAGCATTCGCAAAAATCAGGCTGTGCATGTCTGCCTTACCCCGCTTCTTAATCGTCGCAAATATGACCTTTTCTGTTTATTTGGTATCCGTTTGCCTTTTCGTCGAGCTGAGTCGATGATAACATCAACTGTCCCGCTCATAAACAACTACCAAAGCCAATACAGCCTGAGCCATCAACAGCCATCTCTACGCCTTTGCCTACACTTCTGCGAGCACCTCAGTCATCAATGAGATTCCTCAACGTCAGGACCTTGAAACTACATAGTTTTGATGAGGCCTCTGTATACCCGCCTTACGCGATCCTCTCTCATCGCTGGTATTCATCGGAACTTGAGCTGACCTTCAAAGACTTTGAAGATCTAAGTCAGCACACTTCGAAACCCGGATACTCCAAGATAGTCAGCGCCTGTCAAGCGGCTGTTGCTCAAGGCTACGAATGGCTCTGGGCGGACAACGTCTGCATCAATGGGGAAGACACTGTTGAGAAGGAAGAGACCGTGGAAACCCTTCACTCAATGTTTTCGAAAGCAAGAGTTTGGCTTCTATATCTAAGCGAAATACCCAATGCAAATATCAAGGATGACTATAAAGAAATATTATCTTTATATATCCGAAAGAGTCGGTGGACGAGTCGAGCATGGACTTATCAAGAGTTGATTCAATCGCCCAAGTCGGTATTTTATGCCGCCGATTGGTCTCAACTGGACCCAGAGTTTCAGGCCGATTTCAACACCAATATACTTGGAGTCAATCAACACTACGAGTCCAAAGACGACAAAAAGAAGTCCCATTTTCCGTTAGAAGGGCCGACAGGGGCTGGGTCACTAAGCTCGTTCCCGTCCTTGAGCTCTGCTCAAAGCGTCGATGAGGAGGACTCCTCAGTCTTTGAAGACCACAACCAACCTCCCCGTAGCCCCTACAGGCAGAAAATAGAGAATGCATTATTCAGATTCAGCAAGATGATTGGTACCCCAGCGCAAGATTCTCTCACTGAACCGAAAGTCAAACGAGTAGATCATGTTGATCTACCAATGATACCAGGGGAGCAGTATCGGGGACTAGGTGTATCAGCAGTTGAGATTGAGAGAGACCAACAAAAGGGGATAACTGTCTTCGATGTATACAGAGGTCTCAGGGATCGAAAAGCACAGAGGTGAGGGTAACCTAGTGCTTAGAAGAACAAGACTAATTTGTTGGGATAGTCAAAGCGGTATCCGTATCCTGATTCTTGACAACGACCATGCCGTGGGAAGTGCACTATCATGGCTGCTAAAGCGTTTTATCACGGCCCAAGTCACTGTTGACAGTGAGTACGTGGTGAACTTAAAGGAGTCAGTTTATGACATAGTCTTCGCTCGTGGGAAGGGAGCTCCGCTGCTCTACATGCCGCCAAATTACTGTCACCGAGGGGCCGTTCGAATACTAAAGAAATGCCTTACTATACCGCTTCCACCCTCTTCTGGTCCAGCAACGGTTTCATTCGATATATATGGAGAATACCAGGTCATCTGCGAGTCGCAGAAGCAGGGGTACCTTACGGACCTTACATCAGCAGTACTTGGAGTTGAGACGGTCTACGAGGATGACTTCACGTTGATGTTTGGCGTCGCATTTTCCGATGGCTCTGTCCATTGGCCACAAATGTCTCTCTCAGATCTCGCTTCTCACAACTCCCTCGGGGAGCCTGTAGCGCAAGATCAGCTATTGGGTCATCCAACTACTAATCTTGAGACTTCGAGTCTCTTTGATAATCAGCAGGCCATGGACGACCTCCCAGAAATCTACCTCCCTCTCGAACGCGGTGGTATTAACCCCCAGAGCCCTTACTATTCTGATAGTGTGCAAAGTGAGGTCATCACCAATAGCCCATGTTCATCAACCTTTGACCTCACAGTCCAGAGTCATGAGACACGTCCATCGACCGTTCCCACTTCTCTACCGCATAAGCCAAAGGGGGCCTTGGACTCTCCGCAGACAACAGAATACCAAACGGAGGAACAGGGAAGTATATCATCGAGTCATCACAGAGAAGAACAGAACCAGTGGTCTTCTGGCAAGCCTGAAGATAATCGCGCTGGATGCGATACAGCTACAACGTATTCTTTTGATACGCTCTCCAATGACCCTAAATTTGTATACTTCCAGGCTTTCATAGATCAACTCGCTGAGGATGTAAAAGCGGCTACTGACGGAACAATTCTCCAAAACGTTGGGCAAGTGTTTCTCGACCAAACACTCCGAGACTTTGCGTGGAAGCTGCATGAGGAGTCAATTAACCCATTTCAACTTGAGACTTCTGTCATAATCCACAGAAAGAGAAGGTAAGCATAATTTGGCTTTGAATATTAATATTTCACAATTCATGTTATTGGCAGGAATATTGTTGACCTCCTTGACTTCCAAGTTCCCGCACTTGAAGAAGCTAAGAGCGTGTCTGGTCAGAGTCTCGAGGACTCGGAGGCAGAGAATGAAGAAGAAGCTTCCAAGGTCCCTTTCAAAAGGGCCGAAGAAATGATCGTGGGCTGGATAGATGACGTCAAATCTGGAGAACCCAGCGAACTTTCACAGATGCCCCAGTACAGACAATTTATCCAGGGATCTGAGGCTTACCGATGGCTTTTGACAAAGATCAGCCAGCAGAGTCGGCTATCTTGCGAGGAGCCTAGCCTGATGGACAAGATTGGCAACACGATCAGAGAAAAGTTGAAAGAATGCATTCCGCACCACAAAATGAGCAGAAAGAAAGCATCCATTGGGTTCGAAATGGCATATTCTGTGACATTGGATGTTATCGGTATAATGAACCGATCCGGGATTTCCTCCTCCTTTGACAAAGCCTTGCCCAACATCCTTTGCTTTACAGGCAAATTGGAGGAAGCGCAAGCCACGAGTGTTGCAGAATATATGAACCAAACATGGCCGCAGTCTGGCGATGCCACTATGTCCCTGCTACAAGACCTATTATCAGACCAAGAAAGGTTTTTGACAGTGTCGACCTGGCCTGAAACCACTCGCCGGAGGGTTTCCAATACTTGTCTTCTGGAGGGTACCATGAACCAAGGCCATAACAGGGATGTTCGATACAAAATCCGGGTCAGAGGCGGCTACTACGCTGTTTCTGAGGTAGGTGAACAGATTGCTTGGTTGGCTTCGGTCTTTCAAGTACACAAGCACGCCGGTTTTAGATCGATCATGCCACATGTCACCGATTTCTCCGCCACAGCCTCCAAGAACAACAGTGGGACCATCAACAGCGTCAAGGGAAAGTGCTCCTTTTCTTTCTCCACTCTCTCCGGACCCGCTTATAACCAAAGCCAAGGCTTCTGCTGGGAACGGCTATTTGGCTCTCTGAGCATTATACGTGGCTTCCCAACACTACGACGTTCAGTGCCGAAGTCTGGCCTCGAGGTGTCTTTGCGATATGCAGCGTCGATAGTGGGATCTTCCGAGGTTGTCCAGTGGGACAAGAGACTGGTAATAAAAGGGTTCAATATGTTGATTGTCACTACACAAGTCACGGCCGATGTCGTGGTATGGCATCTCCTCGTCAGTGAAAGACCTGAGGAGAGGATCTCATACGTGGACCCGAGACTTGACCATATTGATATCAGATCTTCTGAAGAAATGTCCCTTCGGCACATTGAAGGCAAACGCCACATTATTGGATGGTGTACCAAAGCAACAGACCTGTGCGGTGAGCGAAAACCTATTCTGAGTTTATCGATACACCAAATATCCGAATACTGACTCATTGGAATAGGACATTCTACTGCTAATCTCGAGATCAAGCCTGGCGGTCTACTGAAGACATCGGCATCCATTGTTGTAGACAAGCTATACATAGAAGGCGGAAGTCCTGTTACTGTTGGTCTCATGCTCGACTTTAACAAAAAGGAGAAGCCCTTCTGGCTCCAAAGAGAGCAAGACTACCCGAGTCTACTTAACTGGGTCAAACTCCAACCGGTCGTTTTCTACGATGTGGAAGAACGTCGTGCATGGCTTGTCGACGGTGCTTCTGCCCTGCTCCATCTCGTCCGCATTTCACTTCACAGAGACATCAATGACCCCGAATCAGTCTACGACTGGGTCTATGATCCCAGTAAGCTTAAAGACCACTGGCCGGGTGTTGGAAGTCGCCAAGCGGCACTTCAGACTTTAAAGAATTGGGAAAACAGGGCATTGAATGTTTACATTGTTAACAAGCACATGAACTCGATGAATGTCCCTGTTACCAAGTATTCGACCTTCGAAGAGCGGGTAAAGAGAATTCTTCACTCGATAGAGGTGTTGGTTGATCGACAAGCCCAGGCGGCATCTCAAGATGGTATCAAGATCTCTCAGACATTGGACCCGCGTCGCGATATTGTCGGTTTCGACATCGTGGATGTCATTGATCCATCAGTTCCTATTTACCCGCGTATTCAGCATGTCAATTCATGGGGACACGGGTGGGTCGACCTAATTCCGACTATTGGTATTACCACCCTCTTTGGGCGTGGATTTGGAGATCTTATACGCGCCGACGAGCCTTATTTGATCTGCCCAAGCTGGAGATCTGTTCCAGTAGGAAAAGACTATCTTGCTGCATCCATATCAACAATGCAGATGCTCCATGAGAAACGTCTGCTTAGGATGGAGCCGGGCCTCATTGGAGGTGAACTGACTAAGAAGATTACTTGGGTAGCGGCAAAAGAAGCATCTCTGCATTGCAAGTGCCTCAAGGGGCAAGGTAGTGGTGAGGCCCAAACTGCTGGCGCAGAGTGCAATCACAACCCTGTCCAATTCCTTGCGAAAAGATGGTGGTCCCGTACTATACCGCATGGCTTGAAGCCTGTGCAGCTAGGGTATCTTGACCCTGAAGGGGCTGTGATCTTTGGTCACACTGTTCTGGGACTAAGAACTGGAGAGAGACTGGCACCAAAACAGGCAGACGACGATGGTGGTGCATCGACAACCAGCGGCGAGCAGACTCAAGATGCTTCAACAACTGGCTCAGTCGTAAGTCAGACGACATCCATTACTGTCCCCAGTGTTGGCCATTCCATCCAGGACGCGGGAAGTTCTCAGCAGAGTTTGGATAGTACAAGTAACGGGACAATTGAGGGTAAGAAGAAGAGATGGTCAAAATTCAAGGATTGGGTCAAAAGATGAGGTTTAAATAGGTTTATTCCGGTGCCTATTGTGCTTTTAGAGAACAGATTGTGTACACGATCTCATTCAAGTGGTTTGGGAGAGTTAAAGGGTCTCAATATTTGTCTCTCGGTCAATCTGCTCAACGGTACCCTTTCTAACTTCGCAGTCCTTATCGCCTTGAACGCAATCGTTGACTGAATCATACCCCTTCAGTTGGACTGGGAGGCTCTATTCTGGTGCAAGCCGACTGACGGCGCCACTTCTTTAGCAACGATTCTAAGGCCATTCTCAAACTCATCCACGTTCTCAGCGGCGTGGCCTCCGTTATTAAAGTTCTTATATCAGAGCAGGGGATTCGGCCATTCTTGCTGCGCAATTTATGAAATGATTGTGTCCCAACGTCATTATAGTGCAAAGAAAAAGAAATGCTAGGGCACTAACAAGTATGGCCGGCATATACGCATAGATTTGTTAAGACACTAGTATTCTACTTGGCGGCTGGGGTCTGGAAAACAAGATAACAACATCCGATAGGTACCAGGCACAGCATCACGATTTAATGACAAGTTTGACGTTGGAAATTGTCTGTAATTCATGTTCGGTAGATAATAATGAAGTTGCAATGAGAGGTTGCAGACAATGTCGCTTCTAAGTCTGATTGTCACATTCTGACAGGCCTACACCAAAGTGCATTCCTTCGCCATAAATGACCATATTGTGCAAGATTACATCTTCACAAGCACTGAATCCAATACAACCGCGTGACTCCGTGAGATTGATCAGCGTTCCCTCTGAAAGGAACTTTAGTCTAAGCGAAGTGCGCCAAATTTAGATGAAACGAGCAATACATTTGCAACAATCACGCGACGTCGCGACCGAATTGACGCATGAAATGTTTATGCCGCCCTGTTTCGCCTCATCCAGAGATCCACGAATGCTTTGCCAGCCTTCAAAGACCCAATGCGAGTGGCATCCCAGCGCTCGGATTGGTAATCGGAATGAGCATCGTGTTATCATCAGTATAGAGACACAAGAATTAAGAATCGTGTAAAAATCTATCATTACGATATAAAATCTATGTCGTGCCCTGTAGGCTCATGCATAAGCTTACTTATAAGCCTTGAATGTATGTCATGTCCAAAGTCGGGTTGAAAGCGCCCGTGAAAAAGAAAAGCCAACACGCATTTCGTGCGGAATGAATGAAGGTCCCCCCGCTGACTCGTCGTCAATGCTACTCGCTACTCCAAACGCCTTACTTTAATGCCGATGCTATGTAATAAATGCCTAGTAGAACTGGGAAATGTTAGCGATGGTCTGAAGTGCGAAATAGCGGACAGGAACTTACCAGGTTGAGGGTCCAGAGGAGAACAAAGAGACCAAGCATACGGAGCTTGAGGTTGTTGGCCCAAGAGGACTTTGAGGGCATGTGTCTCGTAAAGCCAGAGAGCATGTTGCCACTCATCAGAGGCTCGGCGTCAGCCTTAGCCTCCACATCGTATTGCTCCTCCTGCTCCTGGGCAGCCCAGTCCTTAGTCAGAAGCTTGACCATTCCACCAGTAGCATCAGCAACGCGGGAGCTGATCCACAAGAATACCGGAACGATGACGATCAGAGACCTCCAGCGGTCGCAGAGGAGGCTGCCATCACCCTTGAAGATGTCGAGAAGGAGAAGACCCTTGGTATCGGCAGCGAGAAGGATATGGAACTGAAGGGTAAAGGTCTCGAGGGAGCATCGGCCGATCCAGGCAAAAGTTCGAGAATACCATGTGCGGGCAGCGGGGAACATGTTGCGAGCAGCGATGAAGCCCATGATGGGGATGAAAGAGAAGACGGGGTGGAGGGCAGTGTAGTCCTGCTTGCTCTCGGCGCTGCTAACGGCAATCCACCAATAAAGAGGGATGGAGAGAATACCAGCGACACCGGCCAGGCCGTAAGACTGGGTGAGGATCTTGTTGTATAGCTTGGTTCGGACGGAAGCGACACCCATGATGATACCGACGTAGACAATGAGGCCATCAAGACCGAGACGGAACTGCCACTCGTGAAGATCCCACTCGATTCGGAAGACCACGTTCAAGGCATCGAAAACCCACTGCAGGACGGGCGTGTATAGCATAGCTCCAGGGCAGATAGCAGCAGAAACAGCGATCTTACCCATGAGCGCCCAGGTGTTGTCGTTGTACTTCTGGCCAATTGCGAAGAGAGCGTAGATGATGAGGAACCAGAAGCTGACGAGGGGAGCGAAGTAGTAGAACATGTAGTCGGTGTTCATGAAGAAGGGCAACGCGCAGCTAAGAAGGTTGAGACGGAGAAGAACGGCAGCGACACGCTTGAAGGAGAAGTCTTTCTTGGAGCTGAAGAAAACACCATGACCGAAACCAGTTTGGAAGAGATAGGCGGCAACTAGGAGACGGATACCGACGTAGATGTTGAGGTCGCGCGAAGCACCAGTCCAGTGATACACGAGGATAAGAGCCTGCATCCATCCCTTCCACTCATCGGTCTGGTCACGGGACAAAGGCTTCGCATCGTCGAGAGTCGCGGGAGTAGCAGTGGGAGCAGCACCAGGTCGAGGAGGAGGAGGCTTGGACTTGGTCATGAAGGCAAAGCCGGCAATGAAGCAGAGAACAGACATGAGATTAAAGTCGAATATGTTGTACTCCTTTGATCCCTTGGCGAAAGACTGTGTTCGGTCGGCCCAGTAGCACGCAAGCAGACCGGTAACGAAGGTAGCGACATCGAGGTTGAAGATGGCCCACTTGGGAGCCTCGCCAGATCGAAGAGCAAGAATCTCGGTGATGGCAGCACCGCCGATGTAGAGGATACCGAAAGTGACGAGGATAATCTGGACGAAAGACTTCTGGCCATAGTCAGTGCAGCAAGTGCGGTCATAAGGATAAGACTTCTGAATGTCGAGTTTGGCATTGCATCGAAGGTTGAGAAGGATCTGGGCCTTCATCTCAGCAACGCTGTCGGTAACATGGAAGCCGTTCTCGTGGTCGCCGATAGCATCCTGCTGGTCATACGACAAAGCGGGGAAAGACCACAACATGGGAATACGAGACTCTTGTTCCTGTGTCTTGAGGAACTCATCAATCTCCTCGACCTCACCAGGTTGCGAAGCGACACCAGTCTTGCGGTAATCGGGCAGCATGTCGTAGAAGGGCGGGGCAATTGGCGCCCAGAAGACTTCATTGCCAATTCCGTCGCGAGGATCCATGGGTCGGTTACCGAAAGGCTCAAAGTCCATGTTGGAAGCGAGTTCGGACATGTTGTTGAAGGCTGCCTTGAACATGGGAATAGACTCTTCCTTCTCGAAGCGGGCGGCGAACCAAACTCCCATTCCCATGAAGGCGAGGGCGGGACCTTTTTGCTCCTCGACAGGGACCTCGTTGATCCTCTCTTCGTGGTAGAGGGTAAGTTCATTGCGGGCGATGGCGCTGTCGTTGCCGAATGGATCCCAGATTTCCTTGAGTCGAATGCCGCCGAATTCTACATCGTGGCTTTCGTGCTTCTTGCTGTTTGCTCGTACTTCCTCGGCTTTCTCTGCGTCGAGCTGTCGTCATGTTAGCGACTGCTGGTCATGCAATTGAACATTGACCAAATTATTCGGTGACACATCTACAATTAAATCTTCATCGACTTACCAGACGAGCCATGCCATAAAAGACCTGTCGAGTCGTAGAGTCACCAACAAAAAGCATGTGTCGACCCTCCATGCACTCCTCAATCTCCTCCTTCTTGTACTTGTGAATCATACATCCGGGAGGCTGCCAGTTTGTGAAAGGCGCTCTGCTTCCATTCTCTGCAGGAGTATTCAACCATGTTCCGTCATTAAGCAATGCCTTGCAGCGATACGGATCATCGCTCAGTTGAAGCTGGTTGATGGCGATGCCTAAGATGACGACCAGCGTCAAGCCGAGGGCCAGCACCCGGTTAAGCGCAACACCAGAAGTTGGGAGTGCTGCGCCCATTGTGACGATTTATTTTTAGTGATGATGAGTAACGATTGTTTGGGGCGCCTAGCGCGGCGAGCGAATGACGAAAAAGAGAAAAAATTACGGAAAAAGAATTCGTTATGTTGAAGATGAAACCATCTGAAGGACAAGAATCCAAAATGGCGATGGACGTTGACGTTGGTGGAGTTTTGTTCAAGGGAGTGAGAGACAGACTCTTGGAATGCAAAGAGCCAGAAACAAGAAAAGAAAACTGAGACAATAAACAATGGAAAGTTCAAGACAAGCGTAAGGAGGGACTTGACTTGCGTTTTGCGTTTGCGCGAGCCGAGAGGGAGACAGACGGACAGACGATCACTTTGAAACGATGAAAAAGATCTACTGTGAGGAGTATATGAGGTAACAGTACGCGTAAGTCTTCTGGAGTCTACAGGCCTGCAATTGCCCTACGGGTGCCCCTGATCGGCAAAGCAAAAGCTGGCATGACCCTCGCAGGGTTCCACAGTCCACAGAAAGAGGACCATGTCAGGGTGTCACTTTGGTGGAGAAGACTGTGTGAGAAGCGTGAGAAGCGTGAGAAACGTGAGACCGGCGGCAGAGGCAGCGGCAGCAGCGCCAGATAAACAAGTCTGTCTGCATGCGGTTACAAAGGTAAATAGTCGGGTGATCTAGCACGTTGAATTATCGTCAATAGTCTCGCAACGGCGTGGTGCTGCCCCTTACCTCGGGATACTGACTTTGCTGCTTTAAGGTTGTTTCTTTTAAGGTTGTGGGGGTCTAGAACCCATCAATAACGCCAAGTCTCTTCTCTCTCAGTAAAGAGGCCAATCGTTCACGCCATTCTCTCTCGCGGTGCGTCTGCCCCTTACAGCTCCAGCGCTGACCCCTGACGTTTTAATCTCTTGGCTAAGAGCGCTAGAAGCTGGGGTGGCTGGCTGGCTGGAAATTCTCAACGCGCCGTTTGCAATGGTTATCGCCAATTGGAATGTGATGGAGCACTAACCTAATCCTAAAGGAACGACAAATTTGCCTTTCTTTCACCCCGAAATGCAACGCTCAAGCGACACTTTATGCTCTGCTAAACTCAAATACTCAATATTTCGCTCTCACCCCCTTGGCCTCGATAAAGAGAGGCCAAAAAGCTTGAAGGGATTAAGGTTACAGAGGTGTCTAGCCCCAAACGAGGCAAGCTGCCGGCCAATGCCTGTCCTGTCGCTTGAGTTTGACCACGGACAAGTGTCCCAATCAGTTGTTGCGTCATTTGTGAAGCGCTGGTTTGGCGTTGTCTCCCCCTGTAATGCCCTCCCTTACAGGGGGTATCGTCCCCTGGAACTTTGCTTTGATTCATGATCTGAGTCTTGGTACAGATAACAACCACGCGAGGTGGGTTTAATCATATTACATCCTGCGGGATTCCGGTGACATATATATATAGTATAACCACCGCCTCATATTGGCCAAATGCGTGATTCTCATGTCAGCGACTTCGAATGTTATAACTCATCTTGGACGTGGGATTCTGAAACCGGACATCCCCACTGATTTTTTGGTGTGGCGGTAGTTTTTCCGCCGATCGTGCGACAATCAGGTTTTTTGGCCTCGCGGCAAATAAACAAGAACAAGGACAAGGAAATTCCGGAATTAGATGGAGAATGGCAAAATGAAGAGTTGCCAAAACTCAATCTCCTCGACGTAAGCGAAGCTGGTGGAGTTGAAGCTCAAGAAAAGATGGGCCTCGGATTCCGATTGACGACTTCGGGCTAATGGATGAGTGAGCGAGCCGTTTTGACTTGGCAGTGCACTACCCAAAGCTTGGCGATTGAGTTTCTTTGACGACGATTTGAAGTAACAGTTTAACCTTATGCTTGTTGACGTGCAAGTGCCGCGATTAGTGGCATTGAATCTGATAATTCCGAGGCTGACCACCAATTTACTTTGATTGCCGGCAGGGCTCGACTTGGTGAGGCAATTAGCCTGTTCTCTTGACTGGGATGGGGTTCTGTGAGAACATCGTCATTTTGGCTGCGGGCCTCCATCCTCGGCTACACTAAAGAAATCTCGAATGCATCCGTCGATAAGTTTTAGTAGGTTGGCATCGGCGATAGGACAAGGCTCAATTGTGTCCAGCTGTTATATTTGTTTACCATTCAGTTGCCTGCTGTGTGTGATATTACACAAGCCTGATCTATTTGTGATGGTTTTTGGTTGTTGCAGCGTTGTGCTGTTGCCAGCGGCAAGTTGTGTTTAGTGAGCTCTATTCGGTCGGTCAACCCCCTCAAAATTCCACCAACGGTCAACCAACAGAGTGTATCAACAGAAACTGTATGATAAAAAGATCATTAACGATTTCATCACATCATCTGTCGCAGCGATACTTTGTGAGGAGAGAATTTCACATCTTGTGCTGTTGTTCGTTCCACTGTAGGGTAGCATGATGAGGGTTTAGCTGAACGCGTCACCTTCATCCACTGGAAAAATATGACGAAGGCGTTCCATCAATTTTTTGGGTTCTGTAGCTTATTCGTGATAAAACACCATGATTCATCGTTCAAAATTAAGTTGCAATTTCGAGAATTTGTCAACTTGGGACTGTTCTCTTGCATCAAGGTTATGTCTCACGTGAGTCAGCACATGATGTCAATCACCATCTTATCTATATCTAATCAGTAATAGCCAATCTAATCTTGGCTATCTTATCTTATCTTATCTGGTAAGCCATATTTCATAACAGTGACTACACCAGATCTGCTGAAAGATACTCTTTATTGAATTATGAAGCGATATCTAAACATTACAGTATCCCATTAACGCCTCAGACTTATATTTCTGTTGATGTGCCATGATTGGCATAGGTTTCGCAATTAATGAGCTGGAGATATAAGCCAAGTTGTCTACACTTCCCAACAGACTCTTCAAACAAGCCAACAGCTGTAAATAGGGATAGTCTGATGCAATATAAAGATGTCTTTGAGTTTCGAGATAGCTTCTGAAGCTAGTCTCTGATATAGTTGAAAAGTATGGCCTTTTTCCTTGCCAAGACACAAACCTCAATCTGTTATCTTGTGAAAGCGTCGTATAAGAGTGAGCTGGTGGGAAGCAATTTAACTTGAATAGCATCATGGTATTAAAGTTCAGTATTGAATATGAAAATTATATCAAGATAGCATGCGTTGTCTACTGAGTTGACTGACATTGAAGCTAAAGGTGGCAACAGCTTCTACGTGAGGAATACCTCATTTCATATCATATGAACAGTACTCAAAGGTGTATGATGAACCTTGAGGCTGAAGTGTATTTATCTTTAATTTAAATGGATCTGTGTTCTCTAGAATCCGGCCACCAACTTTGGCTTGGTAGACAACCAACACACGGCCTTGGGAACCAACAACTGGAGATGCAGGCCGATCCTTCGACTCACATGCAAGTTAACCATGATCACGGAAACTCACCGAAGTGGCTGGCTTCTGACCGACGCAATTGATTTCGTCTTACGGATGATCAATCCTCCTGGTTTTCAGATTGATTGTGCATCATTTGAGTTGACTAGACTTACTGGGTTAGTCAAGACTCAAGAAGGAACTCCTCTGTATTTTCTTGTCTATCCCCCATTTCCTCATTGACAGCCTATTGATTGTAATCAAGGGATCCAGAGCAAATGTTTGTAAGATGAGAAATTAAGAAAGTAAAGAAAAGTCGTAGAAAGTCACAGCTAGATATGGAAGGCATGCGTTGTGACGTCCCGAATACGGAAGGCACATGTTCTGTGCCACAGGATGCAACGGAAGATCTCCATCTTGCATAAAAGAGAATCACTATGGATGCCACCACAAATCTTAAATTAGACCCGACTATTCAACACAGCCTGGAAATCCAAGGTTCTTCAGAGTGAACAGACTGTCAATGAGGCCAATGTCTGCTGACCGTTAGTCTTTCGAAAATTGAGATCACTTCCTGTGTATTCCTGATCGTCAAAGGCAGCGAGACCAACTCACCTCTATGACTTCTCCTCAAAGAACATGAGAGACTATCTAGTGTCAGCTGAGAGATGCAGGCAGAGTCTGGGTTAGTCACAGATAGTCCCTGCATAATAAGCATAAGTCAACCCTCAAGTTATAAGCAATGCGGTATAGAACCCGTCGTCTCTCACGCATGATCAAGAAGCACACCATCGGGATGCAACACCGTATTCAACCTAATCAATTGCTTAATTTCGCGGGCAATTGCTTCATCGGGCCCAAGTTCCCATGGCTGCAGAAGTTGGTTGAGCAACATCGCCGCTGAACCCTTGCTTCAGCGAATCCTTCAGCCAATGTAACCAGCCCATTTCGTCACATTAGTCGTCATAATCCCTCAATTCAGATTTCGTCACAGCCCTAATCCGCACACATGCAACTCCATGGCATGCTTTTCCCCGTGACAGCCGCGGCCAAAGATGCCGCAATCCTTGCAACGCTGACATTTCTCCCCACATAATATCGTAGATTGCCAAGTTAAGATCAGCCACTTAGACAAAAAGCCCGCGAACTACCAAGAGATTACCCCATGGGGATATGGGCTCATAGACGTTGGTCGTGGACAACACGGGGCTGAGTTCCTCTTTGAGGATAGATGCGGGGATACAGGTTGGGATTACACGAGGCCACCATCGCAGCCTTCCGAAAGGCACAGCACGAGAAAAACTAGACTTGCATGTGAAGTGTCGGTATGGACAGTACTTAAAGACGGGGTAGCTCTTGAGACACGAAGAGTTTCTGCTTGGCAGATCTTGCAGTTCAATTGACCAATCGATTACTCGTTGCATCAAGCTCTCAGACAATATGCGTCTCAGCCTTCTCCCCTTGATTGCCCTCGCTGGCTCTGCCTTCGCATCTGGAGATTCTATCTCGACAGCCATTGATAACATCTCTAATGCCACGCTTGCTCTCAACAAGACTGTAGCGACGTGGCCGCAGACCCTCCTCGGTGCTCTGCCAATTACTACAAAGTCAACACTGCTCCTCACCGAGATCCACAAGGGCTTTGTGATCGCTCGCGAGTCTGAGCCTCTATCTCTCGAGGAAACCCTCCAAGTCGCAAAGGCTACATCTGAGCTCAGCGCCGACGTCGAGCTCACCATCAACACCATCATTGCCGCCAAACCCAACTTCGACAGACTACAAGTCAGCCCCGTCATCCTCCTCAACCTCAACCTACAGCGCGCCCTCAGCCAGGACTTTTCGGAAGCAGTCATATCCAAGGTCCCGAAAGACCTCCAAGGAAACGCAAAAGCACTGGTACAAGGCATCGACGACAGTTTTGCAAGGGCCATAAGCAAGTACAGCAAACTACGAGGTTAATTGGGAAATGAGGGACGAGTAATGAAATGAGTGATAGACGCGCGACGACATAATTACCTTTCTTGGGAGGCCATTTTAGCAGAGATTTTAATTTTACCATGAGTTGTCGAGTAATACCAGGTTAGAACGAGAGCAATTGATCTGTCAGATTTGAGGGAATTTGTTTATACCGATTGAGGAAGTTGAATATGTCAATGCCGAGGCAGATGTTTGACACGTGAGGATGTTGGTGAGGAGAAGCCGGTTCGACGTCGACTAGAACCAGGAACCGCTCGGGGACTAACCTATCAAAGCTAGAGATTTGCATTAGTACTACCCAACGGAGAAGACATAAAACGGTCAACCTATGTTATGCAATTCGAATTGTGAAATTGCACATTCTCAAGAAATCGTTCGTCTCTGTTATCCTTGTAAGCTCTATGTAGGACTGCGGCGATCTCGGTCTTGCCGTGAGGTTCAAGCGTAGTGAAATGGTCTAATGCCGATACTCGCGATCCAATCAGATCTCCCGGAGCTCATACTCAATTCAATCAGGCCCAGATGAATCTTTCGATCTCACTGTCCTGTGTTTCCGTGTCATCTCCGTCATCAGACTTCTCATTGCCCTCACGACGTCTCCACTTCTTGCCCATGACCTCTTTGAACTCCCCAACATCCAACTGCCCATCAATGACCTTCTTAGTGAACGGGCGAACAACCTTGACACCTTCGAGAGGTCGAAGAGTGGCCTCAACATCTGGGGCAACGAAGAGAACAGCACTGAGTCTTCGAATACCAGGAGTTCTTCTGACTCGATGACGGGTTGCTCGGATATTGCCTCCACTTAGGATCACAGCGCACCAACCGGCAAGGACAACCGTTGCATCGCCAGGAACAGGTACCCAAAGACCGGGCTGCTCGGCATCTTCAATTTCGAGCCCCGATGTTCCGTCCTGGAAGATGATGGTAAAGGTGCCATAGTCTGTATGGGCGCCGCATCCGTTGTCACTAGTCGGGTCGGCAGTATCCGTGTTGTAGTCACACAGACGGTAGTTGAGGTTGCCAGTCTTGTGGACTTGTCCGAGATCAGTACCGATGAACTCATGCATAATGTTCATGATTTGAACGACGTAGGTGCTGTTGACCTCTTCAAAGAAGTCCAGGACCTCGTTGAATCCATCACCGGCCAGTCTCTCCCGCAAGGCCTCTGGAATGCGGCCATTGCGGGCGGGCGACAGATCAATGGTGAACTTCTGGTCAGAAATGGCATTTTCCATCGCAGCTGTCTTGAAGATGCCCCGCTTGGGATACGCAGCATTGAGAGAAGATGCATTCTCAGGATTGGCTCGAAGATGATCAAACAGACGTCGAATGGCATCAAAGGGTGCTTTGATATGGGGCTCAAAGGAGAAGATGGCAGAACTGGAGCTAAGCGCCTGCACCGAAGTGTCTAAGAGCGGACTCGCGTTGTTGGCGACGGGAGCGGGAACAGCCGGCTCAATTCCATGGGAGCTCAGAGAAGCAGCAGTGGTAGCCATGATGACAGTATATTTTGATGATATTTTGATGATATATTGATGGTTTGTTCACGATACGATGAGAGTTGAGGGGATCTAGAGACTGCGTCGTCATCTTCAGAAGTGTGGGGAAGATTGCGGGGTGGAACCTTGAACATGAGGCTTGGGAACTGATTGGCGTTGGTGATAAGGCTGGTGTTACCATTATTTCTTGGGTCTTGACCTGTTGGATAAGCATACTGTTTCCGAGACCTCTTGCGGGTTTACCGTGATAGACTAACAGACGAGCGCCAGCATCCACTGATATCAGCGACGCCATAAGTGAAGACACTGACCGGTTGTAGCAGATGCCCAGGGCTGGTCAAAGAAGGAGAGCAACAAGCAGCCCAAACGGAGGAGGCAAAAAAGCTGTCGCTGCGAGCCAGCAGTTGGTCCCATGACCCCTCATCAAGTCTCCTTTACATTGACTTCTCAGTCCAGTAGCGCAGGAACGTGGTCTTGGCAATCGATGATCGCTGGGCTGAAAAGGCCCAGAATCGAACTTGGCGATCCAGCTCAAGCCACCAGCTTCATTTCCAGGGCCTCGGGTTCGTCCACGTTGTGGGGAGCCAACTCAAAGCAGGATAAGCTTGTCGGGGATGCCACTAGTTTTCAGCTTAATGGGGGCCTCTTCAGCCCTGTGGATGGTTTAAATCACTAGGCCTGAGCATCTTCCAAGATGGTGGTCGTATTCAAAGTAGAAATTGTCCAGCAGGGTATGACAAGTCGTCAGGGAGAGACAAGTTTCTAAACGATGCACTACAAAACAAAAGTAGGGGGTTAATAGTCCCGGATCTACGGTACTATCGATCTCAACATCTGCTTGTTGATCTCCGTTTTGGAAAGGAGATTAATGCACTACCCCTGTCAGGCCGTTTGGTCCAAGGGGATCGAGCCCTTGCGGCTGAATTATAGTTTCATAGTTGGCGCCCTACTTCAGGCACAAGGCAAAGCCACACAGCGGCATATTCCTGTTTGCCCTTTCCCCTCAAGAACATCGTCGGGTCCTCGCGATGCTGGATCTTCGTGGCTGCGAGAGTGGTGTATTGAAGGGACGCTGTGGCGTGCTTGGTCGTTGCGATATTGATGAGCAGGACTGAGGGGTTCATTTGGGTGACATGCTCGCACAGATCAATACTGAAATTTGTTGTCTTTGCATTCGAAGTTATTGAAAGCATTGGGAATTCATGGTTCTCTTTTGAAAGGCGGCCGCTTTGATTCCTCAACGCAGTCTCATTGTAGAAGTCGTATCATCCCTGCTCAAGCAGGAGCACTTAGAGTCTTAGTTGCAGAAAAACACGCTGATGACGATGATTTGATGGTGTTTTCTTCCTTCAGAAGAGGGTCAATAGCGACGCCCTCTCGTCAACGTTAAATCATGCCCTCTCGCAGTAAGCACCTATCAGCGCCTCCACCCCTACACCATATCAAAGTGGCTTGGCCACTATTCAACGCCATCTTTGCGTCCTGTTGTCACCTTAACCATCGGTCTTGCCGTTTCAGGTAGAAGCAAGCGAATACTAGCTTGAATGGCTGCATCTGAGGGCGAGACCTCAGCCTTGATCCCTTTTCTCGGGACCGATGGCTTGATGATCTTGATGTTGGGTGTCGGTGGTATATAAGGTCTGGCGATGCCACAGACCTTAGACACATAACCCAGTTCGCAAACTAAGACAATCGTTTACTACACATCATGAAGCTTAGCCTCACCTTTGCAGGCCTCATTGGCCTTGCCGCTGCCTCGCCCTTCTCAGAGTATGATACTTCTGGTGGTCTCATGCGTCAGTACATCACATGAAACCTAAAGCATTGTTACTAACTCTTGCAGGCCGAACCGGAAAATGCAATTGGAAGGACCAGAACTGTTGCGCTATCCCTGACAAGTACAAGTACTCTTCTCCATCCGATACCAAGAACTACTACGGCTATGGTCGCACTATCTACGTCAAGTCCGGCAAGAAGATCCAAGACGCCATCAAGAAGGCCTCTCCCGGTGATCGCATCATAGTTGAGGCTGGCGAATACCCTGAGCAACTCGTCATTGACAAGGACGGCATTCAGCTTGAAGGCCGTGGCAATGTCCGCCTCGTCAAGCCCCAGAAGTACAAGCGCAATGCATGCACTGGTCTTACCCAGGATGAGAAGAAGAATGAGCTCCAGGCTGGTATCTGCATCACTGGCTACAAGGTCCAGACAACCGAGTATAAGACTGAGCATAAACGAGTCATCTCTGTCAAGAAACCCGTCAAGGGAGTTTCGGTCACTGGTTTCAGTGTCAGTGGCTTCTCTGGCATCAACATCGCCATCATTGGCGCTAAGAACACCCGCATCACCAAGAACAAACTGACTGATGCTCCTGCTTATGGTGCGCTCACCCTTGGTTCCATCAACACCGTCTTCCGTGAGAACGTCATCACCACCACTGCTGGCGGCTTCATCGGTATCTGCCAGGACAACCTGTCTGATGTGCAAACCGTCAAAAACGACATCTCTGCGCACCTAATTGGTGTCTGCGTTCAGACCAATGAAGCTTTTATTGGGTACAATACCCTCCATGACAACTGCATCGGTATCTTTGTCGATCCTGGTGTGAAAAATGCCAAGATCGTGCACAACTACGTTGGCCCAACTCCTGCTGCGTGCGGCAAGACTTCTTCTGGTATCATTCTCGGCAGCGCTGTCGGAACTCTTGTTCGCGACAATACCATTGAGGGACAGCGTGGTAGTGGCACTGGAGGAGCCGGCGCAGGAGTCGGCATCCTTATCTACGACGATGCTTGTGTTGCTACTCCCGAACAGCCCATTTCTCTTTCTTGCATTACTCTGGGTGGTAAAGCTCCCAAGGCTAACCATAACATTGTCATTCGAAACACCCTGAAGAATAACGACAACGGTATCCTGAACTTGAGCAAGGGAGCTGGCAATGTCATCAAGTGCAACACTTGCGAGAACCCTGCCAACATCCAGGCCGGACAGTGCAAGAAGCCTTAAGGGTTTTGATTTGCCTAGTCGTTGGTGATATGAATGTCGTATTGCGATGATTCACGAAGAATGTTTTGCAAGCAAAGCGTGAAGAAGGGGGTAATGGGCAGTAATTTGGGCCATTGATTGAAAGCAATGGCATGTAATCCGCCTGATCATGTATTCTATTCTATTTTCAATGAATATTACTTCATGTCTGAGTTGACATATCTGACGGTGCCTCGTGTTCCAACTACGTATGGATCAAGTGACACTTTCGAATTTTCTTACACAGATCTTGATCTTGATCTTGTTATCTCGAACTCGCGAGAGAATTCCGACGCGCGTCAACTATTGCATCATTATGTCAGAATTGAGAAGGTCGCAATCGATTAACTCGTGATTCGTCTAGTGCTCGGCATTTTTGTGGTGCCATGATGGGGCTCTTGTCGTATGCCCAGACTTGAGCCCGTGCCCACTTCAACACCAAGAATGATTTTCGCATAAGCTTCCGAAATATAGCTTGAACTCGATCATCTCGTTGCTTGATACGTAGTTAATCGCCGATTTGCTTAAAATTTTCTTGTCATTCAGTCGATCCCGACTTGGCAGAAAATACGACGAAGACTGCTTGCGCGAATGAAACCTTGTTTTTGGGACAGCTTCGTAGTTGGACTACTGAGATCTGACAGGTGGTCAGCCACAGCATCAGCCACCATCCCCTAGCATCTCGACTGTTTGAGCTTCAAGGTTATTTACAGCTCTAAAGTTTAACGGAATTATGGATAATTTAACGTCTTAGAGTTATTCCCTTAGTGCAGCATACCTCTCAGCCAACAAAAAGGTTGCTTGCCTTTCAATCTGACATCAAGGTCATGACCTGCTCATCAATGGAACTCTGTAATCTTTGCCCAGACAGAGCATTGCGGACTTGTGCTCCGGTACAACGATGAGCTAAAGACTGAATCATCAGCACAAATTAGCAGGTTTCAAGAGCCTTGGCCAAGCATCGATCGATGCTCATTCCCGTGTTATTAGCCAAAACAACACAGATCGTCAGAATCAAGCCACACTTGTCCCAAGCCAAGACACATCCCTTGTCCAACTGCCAGGGCCATGATTGGCTGTCCGGCACGAAACTGCCGCCTGCAAGCCCGCTCGGCATCAGTCTGCCGTCCAAGGCTCACTTTTTCCTGGAAAAAAAGGATTTTGAGCAATGACGTCGACTGTGGCTTTACGTAGCGAGATGACTTTGCATGCTGTGACTATGTGACAGTGCCTACAGGGCAGCGCTGTTGCTGTGTTATTGGTGCTGGCGTGAAACGCTTGAATGACGTTAGTGACGTCAACAGCATGAATCGCGATGCCATGTCGCGTGTCACAGTCCCTCTCCTCGGATTTATAGAAGGGCAAGCAGCCTCAATTGTTTGTGAACGGCAGGACAAGACAAGAGCCAGCAAAGTTCTTTCAATACCTATAATTTCGGGTGCAGAGCCACTCAGTCCGTGGTCGGCTTCCCCTTCAACATCATTATCTAGCATCACCAAATCGCCAACATGCCTTTCTTCCGTCGAGAAAAGTCCCCTCACCGGGCTTCGCCTGGTACAAAGACCCGTCACCACCAAAAGGCGGTTCACGACCCTCTCCCCATGTCGCGACGCCCTACTTTCGGACAGTGGCTCAAGGGAACATGGCTTGACATCGTCACCATGGCCTGTATGGGTGCTATCGGTCTTGGTGTAAGTCTCCATCGCCTCAAACTCAATTACCCGTCTAACAAATCTTTAGGTCTACTTCGCAAAGCCCGCCCCCGCTCGATCGTTCCCTGTTACCTTTTCCGATGGCGAGATTGTCTGGCCTGAGTACGGATACCCTCTCCGAGGCGAGATCGTTCCCATCTGGGCTGCTGCCCTGTTGGCTGCTCTTGTTCCCATCTTCGTCTTCCTGGTGATGCAAATCCGCATCCGCTCATTCTGGGATGTCAACAACGCTGTTATCGGTCTGCTCTACTCCCTCATCACCGCCGCTGTTTTCCAGGTCTTTGTCAAGTGGCTCATTGGTGGATTCCGACCTCATTTCCTCGAGGTCTGCAAGCCTGACATGGCTCGCGCTCGCACCATGGGAGGATACAACAACAAGGGATATCTTCAGCTCTACTACACTCCCGATATTTGCACTGGCGACAAGAGCGAGATCAACGATGCTCTTGAGTCTATGCCCAGTGGACATACCACTGCCGCCTTTGCTGGCTTCGTCTACCTGTACCTTTACCTCAACGCCAAGCTCAAGGTCTTCTCCAACTACCATCCCTCCATGTGGAAGCTCATTGTCACCTACGCCCCTCTTCTCGGTGCCGTTCTCATCGGTGGAGCTCTCACTATCGACAAATATCACCACTTCCACGATGTCCTTGCCGGTGCCATCATTGGAACCGTCTTCGCTTTCTCCGCTTACCGAATGACCTACGCTGCTGTCTGGGACTGGCGCTTCAACCACATTCCCCTCAACCGTGGCGCTCCTTTCAACTACTCCATGGGTGGCGCTGAGCTTGTTGACGCCGTCTTCACTCGCAAGGTTGGCTGGGGATCGCATGGTGGTAGCTCTCTCGGACATGGACATGGCCACGGCCTGAAGAGTGATGGATCTGAGCACATGCATGGCGATGGTTATCACAACAGTTCTATTCCCCGCCGACCTGTTGGTACTGGTGCTCGCGGCGAGGAGATGGTTTAATGGAGTAATAAATTGCGGAAATCCACATCTGGGTATAATTTGAAGGAGAAGTTTGGGCGGCGAGTCATAAACTCGTGTACTTTTAATTGTTCGATTACGACTGTATGAACCTAATACCTTCACGGCCGAATAAAACCAGTAAAATCCAAATATCTGATACTTGAACTATGGGAACCGTAATACTCTTTCTGACTGTGTGTTGTTATTGATAGTGAAGTGTACGGCTTATATTATTCAGCTTTATGACATCTGACTTCCCCACGAGTCATCTTTCCTGAACTCTACGGTTTTGCTGTCGCCATTTGCACATCGAGCTGAATGATACACGGAATAGTAGTGGCTATCAAGCGCCCGGTTTTGATCTCTTGAGCCGCCTTTGATGTTGAGCATTCCACTGAATAAAGTGCACTTTTTGGAAGAATTTCGTATCATGGATCCATCAGACTCCATTCTTTACTGCTATTTGTCTTACGAGTAACACTCTCATTGTCCTGACCTTCGTAATGTTCTTTAACGGCTGCTATGCTTAGCGCGAGCCTCTTCTTCCTCTTGGTCCATCTGCTGTTCCCACTCGCTCTTGGTGGTATTGTGTTCCATCTTCTTTCCAGGTAGACTGTCGGTCTTGCCCTTCTTCTTTTCAAGCTGCTCTGCATCTTCTCGTGCGAGGTCAGCGTCAATTTCGGCACCGCGAGAGGGCCTGTTGCCGTGCATGGTGGCCTAGGCGAGCAGTCAGATGTTTGTGTGATCACCCGAATAGCAGGTATTCTGATAATACTTACTGCGAAACCTGGTTCATGCTTCATGCGGTCTGCAACTATCCTGTTGGTCTATGAGACTTAGCCACCAGTCTTATCTTGAAATTGAGAACTTACATCGGACTCTTTGAGCTCATTCACGATTCCCTCTTTATGTACTAGAACCATTTAGATAAGGAAATGATCAAAGGGCCTGAAGAACTTACGGTATCCCTCGGTATTGACGTTGGGGTGCGTGCGACCCTCCTCACGAACTTCCTCCCTGCTATAGTGGCGCTGGTCTCCGCCCTCATACGAAGAAGGGTAACCGACGTTTGATTGAGACATATTGATATTGATAGACTGTTTGAGTTGATATCTGTTGAGTAGTTGACTGGCGAGGAGCACTGTTTGGCTTTCAGAGCCTAGACTATTTGTAGTGCTTGCTAGCTCGATGGCCCATCATCTGACCGTCATTCAAGCAGCGAACACGGTCATTTTAATGTTTACGCAAGACGTCACTAAAGGATGACATGATGTGTAACTGCAGTCATTTAGGAAATGATAAGCATGTCTTGGGGGCATACACCCAATGAGACATCGTTTTGATGTTGATTCCACCATGAGCAGAATAATCTCGATGTTGGTCGAACGATGAAAGACTGACGACCACGGTCTTTACACTCAGCCCAGACCCTCGGGGAACAAAGAAATATCAGATATTGATATTAGGATTAAAATAAACCTAGTAAAAGATATAATAAGTTAAACTAAAGATATCCTAAACTTATCCTAAGTTACTAGAGTATTCTTATCCTTTAGGAGCGAGACTCTGAGTTTTCCTTCCTCCCCTAACCAGTTGAAAGTACGATAAGATAAGATAAGACCTTCGAGATAAGATGGCGATATCGGTGTCGGGCACCTCTTTCTCACGTGATTGGTGAATTTTCCTCAGTTGCGTATCAATCTCTACAAATCACGCGTAAAGTGGCTGTGATTCTGGCGACACTAAGTTTGCATTGTCCTTTTGTTGATATCACAGGCTGCTGAAAGACTGTTGTCCTCGTCATGTCTTCTGATGAGGCGTCCCAAAATGCCTTGCCGAAAGAGCTCATGGAGCTCCAATTGGGTCAAATTGACCTCCTCATGGCGATGTATGCGTCGGATGAGGCGATTGCTATGGACTCTACGGCCTCTGGCTTGATTGAGACATTAAGGGCATGGTGTGAATGTGACAGGGAAGCCGCACCAAAGTTCCCAGAGACAGTCATAAATCTCCAGCTCAGGGTCGATGTTGAAGATGACGATTCTACAACAAGAACTCTACAGCTCACACTGACTGTGCCTTTGAAGTGTCAAATACAAGAAGAACTAACAGAGCCACCGCCGATAAAGACCAGGATACAGCAACCGGATTGGATGAGCAAAGGAGATGTTGCCAAGTTGAACACTGAGATTCCTGAAGAAGATATTCTCTCAGTCATTGAGCATATAAAAGACGCCGCATCTCAACACCTCTTGAGTTTGAAGCAAGCAGAAATTGCAAATGGCCCAAAAGCAGACACATCCTTAGTCCGAGTCTGGTTCTACTTCCCCTCCATCAGCACAAGGGCAAAGCGAGATGACTTTATCAATTATGCACCGACCTATGGACTTACTGGCTTTCTCCTCGCTGGGAAGCCGGGTATCTTGTGTCTAGAAGGGGGATCGGTCGCTATTGACGACTTCATGAAGTTCATCAAGACAGAAAGCTGGGGCGATATTCCTGCGCATCACAAAAAGGTACACCAAATATGTGGAGAGACATGGACAAGGCTGACAGTGAGAGTAGGTCAGCGAGAGATACCGAGAAGAAGCGACTGATCTGAAGCGTGCATTTTCGGATATGCAGGAGATTACGGATATGATTGAGAAGAGAGGTGCGAGGGGAAACCGTGGTGATATGAAGGCACTAGAAGCGTGGCTGGTTGAGTGCGGGCTTGGTGAAGCATTCGGCAAGATTTTAATGTGAATATAAGCTCTTGAGAGGGCAGCTATGAAATGAAAGAAGCATGAATAAATCAGGGCAGACTCTAGCTAAGAGCGGAGGTTGAGAGACCGAACACAGGGGATTATCCTTTCCACTTCATTCTTTATCTTAGGAAGCGTGAAGTCATTGCAGACGGTCTAATCTTGCGACCTCGGCAAAGAAGAAGACCCGAGAGTTATTGACTACCCCAACTTGGTGAGCTATCCAGATCTGTAGACCTGGACGCTGACTCGGGAACTAGACAAAGGTTAAGACTGAATCGTGATGGAAACGATGGGCCAGGTTTCAGCTGCTTGCGATATGGTTCAAAAAGACGGTATTTGTATTATACATAGATCTCGTAGCTGAGATTTTGTATTCATCGGGAGATAGAGATCGTTCTATTCTAAATGTGAAAGATGCGAAGAACGCCGGCTCTGACATAAGAAAATGCGCAATAAAAACATGAAAACCCCGACGTAACCATTTTGCCAGTATTCAGACACTTTCGGCATAGCCAACCTCCTTAGCTGGCTTCTGCTTCTTGGTGAATAGCTTCTGTCCAACCTTGTCCGTCATCTCATCCGCCTTGTCACCCAAGAAAGTCTTGATGCAGCCATAAACGCCGGAAGTAAGCCACAAGATGGAGTTGACGAGGTCGATCCAAACAGCTGTCTTCATGGCACCAGTGCTAGCGCCCTTGTACTTGTCGTCGCTGTCTCGGTGGAGGAAGATGCCAGCGAATATTCCGAAGACGACGAGCCAGGTGATGAAGAGAATGAGGTCCCAAGCAAATGCGCGGTAGGTCTTGACGAGCTTGAGCTTGCTGCCGATGAGGGGAAGAGCGCCGAGGGGAGTAAGGACGACGAAGAGAATGGCGGTGGTGGCTGAGAGGCCAGCGACGACGAGAGCGAAGTACCATTCTGGTGAGAAGCCGTAATCGGTGTCTTGAGCCTTGTCGACGCGATGACCGTAGAAACCGCAGGCAATGATAGCGAAGAGGAACTGAAGACCTCGACAGACCATACGAGGAACTGTCTCAAAGGTCTTGAGCCAAGTCTTGCCCATGGTCTTTCCGGTCTCAGCGCCCTCGTTGAAGGCGTGACGACCAGCCTGTCGACCAATTTCCTTCTTGTCCGCTGCGCGGAATTCGGAGGTCGCCCCAGCGAAGGATCTAGCAGTGTTGCCGAGCTCGATGGCGGTCTGGCCGGCCTTGATAGCGTTGTCGAATTTGCCCATGATGAAGTTGGATTATTGGTATTAATGTTGTTGAAGATGATTTGCGTGTTTCGCGTGTTGACGATAGATGACCAAAGAATGGAATTGAACTGCACAGCAGTGTAGAAAAAGAGAGAAATTAATAGACAAAGAGTCGTAAAGCGATAGTGACTTGGATAGCAAAACCAACAGAAGTAGACGTCTCATCACATCTTTATACAGCATCAATGATCAACATCGTCAATAGACGCTGATGCGCTTTCTCATGTTGAACAATCAAGAGCCAATCGACAATGAAACAAGGCCGTTAACAAAAAGGCCCAGCGCTATTCATGTAGCCCCAATCGTTTGTTGGCAGCCGCTAAGACCAGGCGCTTAGCGAAACTGGGCCTTTGTTAGGCGCTGCCCGAGAGCCAATGGAAGGGCGAGCGCAGGGGAATAAAGAAACCAGAATAGAACAATTGGAAGAAGGCAGAGAAGAACAAAGCCAAGGGCTACGCGTTTAAGAAATTCCAAAAATAAATTGAGTCGATCAATGAGGAATAATTATTTTGTTCGTGAAAGGGTCCTGATCACAGGGCTTTTTGGCTTTTGACAGTGGATACACCCGCTATTTGGCTCCACCGAACCCTGAAACTGCGTTCTTTCAGCGTTTGTACATCCTGCAATAGCCTCGTTATGCGAAACAAAACTATCTACCCAAGAGACTCTTCAAACCAGAATCGTAGAGAAGATCTCTCGCTTCCTAAAGTGTTTTCTTATTGACTCTTGCCGAGTTTGCGATTGAGGACACTTCAAACCCCGCCAAACTTGCAATCAGCCCGTGCAGGTGCCAGCACTGTACAGAGTTAGAGTTAGACGATTACACAGGCTGCGAGGGCAATCAGGGAAAAAACCATGCAGATTTTACCAAGTTATTCTGGCCTATAGTAATTTACCCGGATTTCCAAGTTCTCTTACCAATAATTGATACCTCCAACTCTAAGCCTCGGCTCTGCAGGTCGCAGGAATTTAGGGCTGACAGGATTCATGCTCAAGCTTGATCGCTGAACGTGTTGGTTCGCGGCGCTTTTACTCATTCAGGTAACGCCTCCCCAAAATTACCAATCAGATGAAATCATATCTCCTCCGAAAACGCGGGGATGGCTGGGTATTGCAATGCGATGACAAACGTCGTACAACCAACCAACAGCACAAACCGCATACAAAAGCACAAGATTGCTTTCTTTCTCAACTTTCAACAAACAACTTACTCTTCATATCTTTTCAACTACACAAACAGTATCAACAATGGCAACCCCAACTGTCGTGATCGTCCCCGGATCGTTTGCACCATCAAAACACTACCGTGTCTTTACAGAGAGTCTCGAGCGACATGGCATCGACTCGCGCGTGATTGATACCCCATCAGTTGGCAAGCGGGGTAATCTCCCACCTGCTACAATGAGTGACGATGCCGACGAGATCACCAACGTTGTTTCCAAGCTTCTCGGCGAGGGCAAGGAGGTCATCCTTATGACCCATTCTTATGGAGGCATCCCTGGAACCCAGAGTCTCAGCAAACTCTCACGAAAGGCTCGCGAGGCTGGGGGAAAGCAAGGAGGAGTCGACAAGATTATCTACCTTGCATCGGTCGTGTTGCAACCGGGTGTCTCCAACTTGGATGCATTCGGATCGGCCCTGCCTGACTTTCTCGATCTCAAGGTACACTTCAACGACTTCACTTCCAGGACTTGCGCTAATATTGCATCCAGGATGACTACATGACTCTTGATCCCAACGGCCACGCGACTAATACCTTTTCTGACTTGCCTTTTGATGAGGCTTTAGAACTGGCAAAGCAGATGCCGGAGCACTCAACACCAAGCTTCCGGGAACCACTGACATATCCTGGGTATAATGATGTCGAAGTGCATTATATCGTGTGCGAGCAGGACCGGATCATTCCTCCCCAATTCCAGCGGGCAATGATTGAAGGTGTCAAGGCGTCTAGTGGAAAGGAGGTTACAGTGCACAGTTTCGATAGCGGCCATGTGCCCACCGTTAGCCAGCCTGACAATGTTTCGAAGGTTGTGAAGGAGATAATTGGAGTTTGATTGACAGGGAATGTTTTATCTCGGGGAAGATGATAGTAAAGTTATTTAAAGACCTCCACTGCCCTTTCACTGTCGATTTCCGGCTCCTTGCTCATAAAATCTTTGCAAGAATCAGTACTGCGTTGAGATTACTCGTACTCTGCCGCATGATATCCTCAGACTGGCAGGCTATTGTGCGTAGCTCTATCAAAGACCGACTTGGAAGGGAGAGACTTACTGATTTCGTATAGAAAAAACTGTTAGCGGAGTTGGCTATATTGAGGATCATCAAAGCCCCATGGAATCGATGCAGAAGGTGGAGAATGGGATTGGCAAGTTGGGGCCGGCTAGCGACAAGCTGATGGTCTAGAAAGCTGTTCTAGATGTGCAAGTCAGGAGCTGTGTGCCTCACGCCTTTGAGAGTTTCATGCTTTGTGAAACGTAAGCAAAGGACTGACCTCACAGTCTCTTCGCAAGTTCACCACAATGAGCATCTTGGGTAGGAGTAGCAATAGACTTATTAGCGTATTTTAGACTTCAGATCACTGAGTGCCAAATCAGCATGAAGCGAACCTTCATGAGGCCGGATCGTGTCGATAGTAAGGTAGTATTTGCAAGAGCGTCAGCCCTAACCAGACTTGGCGAGGTGGGGTAAAGCCAGAAACTGTCAGCATTGAATAGCCATGATTTACTTTCCAACTGTTCTTCCTGTAATGTGATTATTTAAGGAACCCTCGAGATGTATTCGGATATTAACTACGGCCAACTTAAAGATCCTGACCATTGTATCAGACTCATCAAACTAGAACCTTCTCCGCCAGCATCTACTTCGTTGCCCGACAGACCAGATCTCCTTGTGTGCAACATTGAGGAATATATTCGTGGTGACTCTCAGCCATATACAGCTTTATCATATGTCTGGGAATCTCCAGACAGCTCCAAAAGGCTTATGAGCATTGATGGGACGACAGTAGATATTAGCTCAACCGTCGAGAATGCCCTTCGCCGTCTACGGTTTCGCAAAAAGCCTCGATGGCTCTGGGTCGATCAGTTATGCATCAACCAGACCGACGAGGTCGAGAAGAGCCATCAAGTCCACCAAATGCACCATATCTATAGGGAAGCAGATCAGGTAATCGCATGGCTGGGTAATGGGGACGAGGGCAGCGACTTCATATGTCGCCTGATGCGTGACACAGGGAGAGCCTTGCGCTCCAACGACCTTGAGGCTTTGCGAAATCTCTACTCTGGGGAAAAAGAGGAAGGGTCTATTGATATAGAAGTTGCCAAAATGGCCTTTAATGGATTCTGCGAGCGACGCTATTGGCAACGTCTTTGGGTCATGCAAGAGTTTGCTGTTGGCCGGCGAGTTGCTATTGCCTGCGGCGGCTGGATTGTGAAGTACGATCTAATAGAACAGACTCTGGATGCCCCGAATCTTGTTCGGCGCCGTGCACAAAAGAAGCCCGTCGATGGGCTTGAGACGCTGATTCGGAATCTGGAGTATGTTTACTCCACTCCACTCAACAGCTATGTTCATAGCTTGTTCACAAGACGATGGCACTATGTTTACACTCCCGATGGAGAAAGTCCATGGGGCCAACCCCTTCTACAGGTCATCGCGGTGTCCCTCACTCTGGAAACCGACTACAACGTTGTCCATGCAACCGACCCGCGGGATCGCATCTTTGCATTGCTGAACCTGGCTGGAGACAGGGACCATTTTGACTTGTTCCCAGACTACTCTATGACAGTCGAAGAGGTATACAGAGAAACAGCCTGCAAAGTCTTAGAAAGAGGCACTATTGACATGCTTATGTACTGTCAAAGGCCTAGGAAGCTTTCCATGCTACCAAGTTGGGTACCTGACTGGAGTATGGATGTTCTGCATCCAAATGCACAGGCACCGTGGGATACCCCCTTCAAAGCATCAGGCACATACACCGCGATACTGAAATTCCCCCACTTCGACACAGCCGCATTTGAAGGTATTTATGTGGACAAAGTTCAAGAGATCGGGACAACTTGGGACCCAAACTGGTTGAAGCCCATCAATAAGATCGCAGTCAAGCAATGGCTCAGAAGCATCAGGGGATTTTGCGACAACTCCCCTAGAGTCAGGGTCGGAGAAGAGCGTTTGGATGCTGCACGCATCGGGATACTCGATGGCACTACATGGTTCTCTACAGTGCCTTATCAGGGCTGGGGATCCCAGTGTGCAGATGACGTCGAGGATCTTCAGCGTCTTGAAGCAGATAAAGGAGGAGATGATTCGTCTGCAGAAGCCTCTTTCTACGCTTCTGCTCTTATGCGGATGCACACGAGACGTACCTTTATGACTTCCACGGGATTCGTTGGGGTTGGTCCACTTGACATGCAGCCGGGAGATGAAGTCTGTATCCTGTTGGGAGGGAAAGTACCCTACCTATTGCGGGCTCAGGGTGAAGAACTATATACGCTTATTGGAGAGGCGTACGTACACGGAATCATGCACGGAGAACTGTTTAAAGGCGGTCTTAGAAACCTTCAGAATTTTGTTGTAAAGTGAAAGTGAGGTACATGACTCATTTCGGTCCCTGAAGCTAAGAGATAAATAATCATTGAATCACCCCATAGAAGAGAGCAAGAGCACAGGGTCGAAAGCAGGTAAAGGTATATATATCAACAACGGAAAGATTTTATGTTCCAGCCCTGAAATGGGATTCCTAGACTGAATGCGAGAAATTTTGGTACATGAAGTTAGTCCATCACTACAAGATCTTCCATTTCCTTTGCGTACTCAGATCTATTGTGACAATGACCTTAGACTTGACTCTGCGTACCGAACCACAGGAAATGCTGGAGAATATGCCTGTAAGAGCTTGTGGTACTCTGCGAAGTGACCCGCCCATCGCTCTGAATCCTCAGGTGTTGTTGAAGACAGGAATCTACTCAACATAAAGCTACCGATTATCGAGAATGAAGCGTGGGAGACTACAAAATCAACAAACTGTAAGAAATAGGAGGTAGAATCTTGCCCCATAGTGAGGCAATTTCATCTTGGAATGGGTATGACTCACATGGCCACCAAAATGCTGACATTTGGCTCATGGTGAGATTTTGAACAAAGGATATGGCGTCTGAAGACACCGCGAAAGCTTTGTCTATAATGAGGCTCGCGTCTGTCTCCAATCTTTCTAGTTTCAATAGTACTGCTCTGTACAAAATGACCCGCAATGTGTGATATGCTAATATGATGGAGCCTGTCTGGTCAGTGATTGTGTGATATCCGTTACAGGAACAAAAAACAAGTGAGACGTACCGATAGGGTCAGGGTACGCTCGGACCTGCAAGAGAGGGATGAGGGATTCTTCCTCCCACGACGTCAAAGACCGGTCCAGCCTCGCATTTTCGCTGAACAGCTTCTCAGCAGACCGGTGTTTAAGCCACTCTTGCTTTGACTTTATGGTGTAAAACGTCTTCAGTAGGTCAGAGAGAATAATACTCAGCGATGCCATGGAGACAGAGGTGCGGTATTGTAGAGGAACATCGGTTTCAACTCCATCGCAGTTACCCTCCATAAAATCACTCTCAAGTAAGGGCTCGACGTCCATTTGGGAGTCATCGACGAGCGAAGGTCGTCCGAGTGCCGTTGCTGACCTTGGGAGAATAGGAGTTAGATTCAAACCGTGCATAAGGCCAAGGAGCAAAAACCATTTGTCATATACATAGACAGCCCACCAAAGCCTCTTTCTTCTCTTTTGCTCTAAGGAAGGGATGTCCCACGTCCTCGGGTCAACATTCAATCCGAGATTGTACGCCATGGTAATGATCTGTTCCTTGCGTTAACCATAGATGAACTTGTGAGAATGAACCTGAAGTGGCTTGGCACTTTGCTTGAGAAATAGAGTACACCTACAATGCCAGCTTCCAAGCTGTTACCCGGGGATCCCGCAAACCTTGAAATTGTTAGTCAACAGTCTATTCTCATACAATAGTAGTCCTTGTACCTTTCTGAGTACCCATGTCTTTGGGAGAAGACCAGAAATGCCTCTACTGTGTCTAGAGTTGGATGTGATGCTTCGTCTACCAGTGACGTATATATATGAGCGGCGAGAGACTCTTCATCTATATCATTAGAGGATGGACAGAATGGCTTCGCGATGAAGCAAAGGCTAAGCGCCAAGAGCTCATGAGCACCGATAGTTATCTCCTGCTCCCTGGTTGCCAATAGCCCATATGTAGAGTGCACGTGTTCGAAGTATGCCCTCATAAGAACCTCTTGTTTGTTCTTCAAGAGGTCCTTTACACCATGTGAGCTCCTTTCTGCTAGAAGATACATGCTAGGAGAGGTCTGGATTTGAAGAGTACCAGTCAGTGGTTGATCTTAATTTCACAGTGATGGTAGGGTCTTGCCGTAAAGTAAACTGGAAACAAAGGTGCTTTCCCGACCCTTTCGCATTTCAGAGAAGTTGAGTGCTGGGTCTCATGCATAGGCCATTGTTTATGCCGGAGGATAAAAGGGTCAAAATCGCCACTCAACCCAACAAAGCTCGGAGCTATAGGCTTCTCGGGCAAAGCAATAGACGCTGATGGGTAGTTTACTGATTGATGTGTTTGGGATGGCGCCGTAGTTTGAACGCTCTTAGGCGTTCTGGGGACCCATGCCTCGTTTTCTACAACGCATTCCACATTGCGAAGCTCGCACAATTGACATGGGCCGTCACCATTTCGGATGCAGCATATCTTCCGTTTCCGACATACATTGCAAGGTTTCTGCTTTCGTGACTGATACGGTCGTTGTCTCGAGTCAGCCATATCGTCGATGGAGCACTTGAGCAACACAAGTCGCAAAGGTTGGGTGAGATTGTCTCCATCGAACGAAGCTAGAGTCTGCAGGGTTTATCTTATCTGGTACTCTTAGTAGAGTTCAGCCTAGATAGGCTAGCTTGTGCTTCATGGCATGGTAGACTAAGTGGGACTCTTGTGATAAGGGTCGGTTCAGAGATCTGGAGATATGGAACAAGCACTAAGAATGGCCTGTCTGTTCGAGTAGAGACACAGCGAGAATTGCCTAGCACCAGCGCAAGCCCGACAGTACACTACAATTCGTCTTCATATGCTTAAAATAGTAAAAATCAAATATACATCTTGAGTAGGAGTAGCAGATTCAGGTCAAAAGATAAAAATAATTGCTAAACAAGATGGATGAATCTCGGCTCTGCAAGCCTGACGGCCCCTATTTAGCTACTGGGCCATCTCCTTCCATGATATATACACGAGCTTCGAAAGGCCAAAGTCTGTCCACCCTCCAATTGACCATGTTGGTCAAAACTGGCTCCATGTTGTGAAACATCGGGGGTGCACGATCTCGACACGACTGATCTTTAGTGGTGAAGTTGATCATGACTAATGCATTAGAGCCCTCCGACTTCTTCATATAAGTCATCACATACTTATCCGCCGCGTCTATCGTCTCCCAAGAGCCATACACGAACAACTCTACGTGCTTTTTACGTAGCTTAAGCAGGTTTTGCCAGAAAGCAAACACGCTATCGGGATCTGATACTTGTTGTTGCACATTTACCTCACGGTAGTTGTCGTTAATTCCCATCCATGGCCCTGTAGGGGCATCGGTGAATCCCGCGTGTTCCTCGTCATTCCACTGTACTGGTGTTCGTGCGTGATCTCGGGCCACCGACCGGATATTTCTCATGGCCTGGGCAAGGGCAGCTTCATCACCATTGGTGGAGTCATGTACCTGCTTCCAATAGTTCGATGCACTGATGTCTTTATATTCCCTGATGTCCCATTCCTGCGGGGCATTGGTAATACCAATCTCCTGCCCCTGATACAGGAACAATGTGCCTGTGGACGTGCCCAGTAGCGTAGCGAGGGCTTTGGCCGCTGCGGCCCGGTACATAGGATCGTCATTGGCGAAGCGTGAGACTGACCGTGCAATATCGTGATTCTCTAGGAAGATGCATGTCCAGCCATCGTTCCCTTCAATGAATCGCTGCCACTTTTCAAAACTTGCCTTAAATTCCACAAGACTGAAACCCTTCAAGTTCCAATGATTCAGAGAGTACCCAATGCAAGCCGTCTCAAACTGAAAACCCATGGACACGCGCCGTTTGCTGGCACTGACATAGTCAAGAGCCATTTTTGTATCAGCTAGGACGCCAAATTCTCCCACTGTCATCTTATCATCACCGAACTCGGTGAGAACTTGATTGATCTCGCCTAAGATATTGAAAACTTCAGGCTGATGAGCATAGAACTTGCGACCAGTCTGATAAAGCGAGGCGGGGTCCGCGACAGGTGCGTCAGGATAGTCAGGATTCTTGCTGTAGATGGTCATGGTATCAACGCGGAATCCATCCACACCTTTACGAAGCCAGAAGCGAATTGCACTATCATATACAGCCTCGCGCATAGCTCTGTTCTCCCAGTTGAGATCAGGCTGGGCATCGGCGAATAGGTGCAGGTAGTACTCTTGAGTATCCTCATCCCATGCCCAACAGCTACCGCCAAAGTTGGAACGCCAGTTATTCGGAGGCTTTCGGTTGCCGTTCTCGTCATATTTAGGTGGCTTCCAGATATACCAATCCCGTTTCGGATTTTTTCTTGATTGTCGCGACTCGAGGAACCAGGGATGCTGATCGGAGGTATGGTTGATGACTAAATCGAACAAGATGCGCATATTGCGTTGGTGACAGGCATCGATTAAAGCCTCTGCGTCAGCCATGGTGCCATAGGCTTTGTGAATAGCTTCGTAGTTTGAAATATCGTATCCAAAATCTACCTGTGGGCTTTCGTAGAAGGGGGACACCCATACTGCATCGACACCCAAGCTTCGGATGTAATCTAGGGATTGAATAACTCCACCAAGATCGCCAATGCCATCAGAATTGGAGTCTTTGAAGCTGGCTGGCCAGATCTGGAAAATGGTAGCTTCTTTCCACCATGTTCTCTCTTTTTTATCTGATAGAGAACCCATGATTACTCAAGCAGCTTGGTGGAACGATGTGAGGACTTGGCTAGAAAGATGACAATGGAGAGATTAGAGCGTAGAAACAGGTGCAAAAACTCCTGCATGAACACAGACCTACCATTTAATGTTAAAAACAATACCTTGGCTTCATATGTCTCATTGACATATCTTACTAGCTGAATCAGTTGACCCGCGGGGAAGGGTTTGTTGAGTGATACGGTGAGATATGAAGAAAAGAATGCCCCACTTGTTAAAGTTAACCCGCGGCGAAGGATGGTCCATGACGAAGTACGCCCACGGCAACGAAAGATTAGTCCTCAAGCCATCTCGGCATCTTGTTTTCAGTTCCGTTTCGCCATGTGGATTTCTCAGTGGCACTCAAACGAGCATTCAAGTGGCGCGGGAGCGTGTGCGCATAGCATATCTATCTCTGCATAAGACATGTTCAACCCCCCGGCGAAGAAGACTTCTCTATCACGCAATTAAAACACTAAGCCGTTCCAACAATCAATTTCCAAACCTAGAAAAGCACGCAGAATATGACAGACAAAGCTGGATCAGCTGTCATGGCAGCGTCTCTTTCGAAGACGGCCCCCAACGAGGTCGACTGCATCGACACTAACCTCCAAGCTCAGGCTGCAGAGGACAGCGAGCGACATATGACTGTTGGCCAAGGACTCAAGGTCTACTACAAGGCAGTTCTGTGGTCAGCATTTCTTTCTTTGGCGGCTGTCATGGAAGGCTACGACGCCCTTCTCCTTTCTTCACTTTTTGGGCAGCCTGCATTCACCCAGGGTTTTGGCGAAATCCAATCGGATGGTACCTATGCCATCAGTGCTGCTTGGCAGAGCGCCATTCCCAATGCTGTCAAGGTTGGCCAATTCTTTGGTCTCTTCATTGCAGGATGGGCAACAGATCGCTTTGGTTTTCGTATGACAGTCATCCCAACTTCTATCATTACGGCCGCCCTCGTCTTCGTTCAGTTTTTTGCTTCAACCATACAGGTGCTGCTGGTTGCCCAACTGCTTTTCGGCTTTCCACTGGGTGCCTTTCTGACGATGACTTCTGTATATGCAGCTGAGATCTGCCCCATGATTCTCAGGCCGTACTTGACAAGCTGGGTTAACCTTTGCTGGACTATCGGTAAGCATCGCCTTACAACAATAATTCCCTCAATAACTGACAACCTAGGTAAACTTATATCTGCAGGCGTCCTGCGGGGCTTCGTCACGAACTCCTCCCATTGGGCGTACAGAATACCTTTTGCTACACAGTGGTTCTGGCCGCCAATCCTTCTATTTGGTTCACTTTTTGCTCCCGAGTCGCCATGGTGGTTCGTACGTCATGGGCGTCTTGAAGAGGCTCGCAGATCACTTCGTCGTCTCCGCACACAAAATGATAACGCAGAATCCATCGAATCAACTCTCACAAACATGATACTCGTCAACCAGCATGAAAGAGAGCTAGAGCAGGGGACATCATACATTGACTGTTTCAGAGGTTATAATCTTCGCCGTACCGAGATTGCTTGTGTCACCTGGATGATACAGCCTCTTTGTGGCTTTGCTATTGTTGGATTTTCAACCTACTTTTTCCAGCAAGCCGGGCTCGATGCAAGGAATTCTTTCAGCCTCAGCTTGGGTCAGCAAGGAATAGCTCTTCTCGGTGGTATCATCGCTTGGAAATTGCTTACCCACTTTGGTCGAAGGACATTATTTCTATGGGGTCTCGGAGGCAGCACCATTTTTCAGCTGTCCATCGGCTTTCTAGGCATTCCGGAGCCTCGTGGAAGCGTAGCCTGGGCAACAGGCTCTATGATGATGCTATACATGCTCGTGTATGCTTGCACAATCGGTCCCACCTGTTATGTTGTCGTTACTGAGATGGGGAGCACGCGACTACGAAACAAGACGACGGTGTTGGCTCGGAACTCATATCAAGTCGCCACGATTATCAACAACATTCTGACGTCGTACATGATCAACCGCAAGGCGTGGAATTGGAGGGGAAAGACCGGGTTCTTCTGGGGTGGTGTTAATATTCTGCTTTGGGCATACTGCTTCCTCAGGCTTCCCGAGACCAAGGGTAGAACCTTTGCTGAGATCGATGCCTTGTTTGAAGCCAATATCTCAGCCCGTAAGTTCAGGACATATGAGGTGCAGCCATTTGTAGCCGCGCAGGATACGACTGCTACAATGAGGTATTCTCAACAATCTTAGTTGTCTCGGAATTTCGTTCCAGATCAGAGGTGGAGATCCTTTGACGAGACACCTGAAGCATCGCTTTTATATTTAAGCGTCTCAACTCAAGTCGCATGATTCATGCGTAAAAACAGATATTTTCTGAGGATAACCTTATCTAATTGGGTTTAATATTGTCAACTATAACTAGATATGGCCCAAACGATGACTTTAGAGACAAACGAGTGTTTCAATCTGATTGAGATACCCGGTTCGCTGCTGATCTGCAGTGACGTCTACTCTGGAGTAGGCGTAGGGGTAACCACCGTTAGACGCGGGCCCGGAACACACTTTCCATTGACGCACCGTCCATTTCGCTTGAGCAGGGGACAGATGTCACCAAGCTGGTAGCGAAAGCGGCGAGCTACTTTGATCAGAAGAATTCTCACAAATACGGAGAAAATGGCCCTTGGGCCATCGACAGGGACACTCACTGCCTCCCGGACGAGGGAGAGGATCAGCTCTGCAGGACAGCTGGAACGTCCGACATGTAAGCAATCAAATGCATGGGCGAGCGGAGATATTAGAACTTACAGTAATCGGTGCGCCGCACTGGCATACATCTGGGTCTCCCTTCTGGCAGACTTGCCCAATGTTGGTACACGCAAAGGTCTCGGCCGAGAGTGCGGCAACAGCGAGGACGATGGAGAACTTCATTTTGAATGAAAAAATTGATTGGATTGATGGGCCTGAGTTGAGGTTTGCTAGATTTCATTAAGCTGTTGAGCTTCTGTCTTTCGATGGTGAGTGGTTTGTCAACTGACAGAGGAGCGGATTCGACTGTTCTTATAGAAAGCAATAGGGCAAAGGTAAACGGGAAAGTGACGAAGGGACTATTGTGAGTTTGTTTCATATTGATAGAAGAGGTTCTACAGATAGAGCGGTGATGGGACCTCGAGTAAAACAGTCTTGTCATGATTCTTCTTTTGTGTCATGGTGTCGTTCAGGCAGACTGAGGTTGCGAGCAGTCACAAACACGGAGCTGTTCTGATTGTCTGTGTCATTCGGGATACTGATATTTTGCTCTATCTTTCTGATCTATGGAACTCCCAGAACTTTATCGTCGGTCCATACAATTCAAACCGTAAGATGTCACTGAGCAGTCTCTATAGAACTTGCCAAGGTAACATATGGGAGATCTTTTTCTCCACTGCCTGGATCGCTTGCTGCCAGAAACTTGTCTCAAGCCATACTACTGGAAACCCTGCTTCAACAATGGATGGAGTGGAGTCTATTACAGTGATACAAAGACATGATTCATACTGTAATAAAACGATTGACAGTGCGTGGCGGCCTGGAGAGTGTGCTCACAGCATGGTAGGCGATGCCATGATGGAGTCGGTGTGCTTTTCAAGAACAATGAGAGGGAGGGTACAGAATACATATATCTGTTGCCAGCTTGTGCGCTGATCTCTCAATGCATGATTTAGCCAGAAGCAAGAATATAAACAGAAGGAGCGGTCTGGACCGTTCTCTGTGATACCCTCAGCATATGGACTCAGCTGGAACGTCTTATTGCTGTCTCAGACCCTTGACTTCACCTACGGAGGTATCTGAGTATCTTTAGAAGTAAGCGGGGTATCAATACATCGTGGCAAGGTGAGAAAGATTAGCTAAGTGAGAATGGTTCATTATTCTAGCATCAGAGATATTAAAAATACTAAGAGTGTTCTATGAGTACTACATAATCATAACTTGCCTACTTCCAGTCCTTACCAGCCCTGCTATCCTGCTATCCTGCTACAGGAATCGTTCAAATAAACATGAAAACAAAGCGCAATGTAACAAATATCCTTGAGTTCTCTAGAGAGTGTATCTAAAGTCAGGACGCACATCACCGCTGATCCACTTCTGCTCATCTGTCATGGCAGCATACTTGGCATCCAGTGATCCTCTCGCACGACGACGGTTCTCCAATCGAAGTGCAAAATGCATAAAGATGGAACCTCCTAGAAGGAAGAGGATCTGGTAGGCTAGAACCGTGCCGTGGCCAGCGTAGTAGCGAGGTCTTTGTGTCTCTCGGTAGATGTTGGACGAGACGACGCCATTGAGGTTACCCCAGCCGACGACCATACCGAGAACAATGGCACGCTTCAATGAACCCTCGATATTGTTGTTGACCCATGAGACAGTGTTTGAGACGGTGGGATAGATACCTGTTCTAGATTAGTAATAGCCTTAAGAAGCCAGTGTTGTATACTTACCCATTGCACCAAGGAACACAGCGCCGTATTGGACATGCGGGTCAGGCGAAGCGATCAGCATTGTGAATCCAATAATACCGACACAGACAGTAGCAATATTGCAATAGCCACGCCATTTGGTCCGGTCTGCTAGGAATCCGACGAAGACAGTAGCGGCTGCAGCGCAAGCATATGGAGGAACCGATAAGAGCTGCGCCTTGGTGCCAACATGCCCCATACTTCGGAGGATGGTAGGCAGGAAGAGAGAGAAGGCGTACAGGGGCATCAGTGAGCCCATGTAGATCACCATGTAGCCGTACGTCTTCCAATCCTTCATGGCAGCCCAGATGTGACGCTTATCAAAGTCTTCAGCGGTCCTTCCCTGGCGGTCTAGAATGAGACGGCGCTGAACACGAACGCGATCCTCGGGAGAGAGGAATCGAGCGGTGTCGGGCCAGTCGAAAACCATCCACCAACAAAAGGCACCGACAGCGACAGTCGCGAGACCTTCGAGGATGAAGATCCATGCCCAACCGGGTCTGCCGCCAATACCGTCCATCTTGGCGATAGCTGCCGCAAGGAGACCACCGAAAGAACCAGCCAGGGCAGCAGCAGAGAAGAAAATGGCGGCGCGAGCGCCAATCTCAGATGACTTATACCAGCAGCCCAGATAGTAATTGACGCCGGGGTACAGCCCAGCTTCTGCGACACCGAGGAAGAAACGAGCTGCCAGGAGACCTGGGTAGTTGTGACAGACACCCATGAGAGTCATGACGGCACCCCACGCGATGATGATGCCCGTGAAGAAGATGCGGGGAGTCAAGCGCTTGAGAAGACCGTTGGTAATTGGCTCAAAGAGGGCATAACTGACGAAGAAGATGGTGAGGGCGACGTTGTAATCTCCCGGAATCATATCCAAATCCTCTTCCATGCCTGCGAGACGAGCATTGCCGATGTTGGTTCGGTCGAGGAACGAGAGTAGATAGAGCAGTGATAACCAGGGGATGAGCCAGAGGTCGACCTTCCAGACCAGCTTCCTGTCCTGAGCGATTGTCAGCATCCATCATTCTCGATTGAACACAGAGCACATGTCGGACGACTCACAATCTCACGTCTTTCCTCTTCACTCTTACCCTCGTCAGGGTCAGGCAGAGCCGCTAAGAGTGCATTGCGCTCAGCATCAACAGCAGCCCCAGTCCCGACATTGGACAGTGTGGTCGACGCGACATTCTCAACATCAACAGCTGTAGGCTTCTCTTGCTCACTCGGCGGTGTCGCCGTGGTATCAGTAGTCATGGTGCTGGAACAGTTTCTTATAACACAAGTCTAAAATAGCGAAACGGTCTCTGCGCTCCGCGGAGATGACAGCTTGCTACTGTTTTTACCAACAGAGCAAAGGAAGAAAGCGAATCTGAAAGGGGAAGAGGCAAGGGCTTTTGTTACCACGTAAACAAATCTTCCATCAGCCCGCCTCGTACGTCAACGCCCGCAAGCCGCCCCCCAAACCCCAAAGCTAGCCCATGCGATGCGGGGGAGGAAATGAACCAAAGCTCACGATCTGCGATGACTCTAAGCGTTTACGGGAAGGTCGACGCATGGACGTGGAGAAGAAGAGACCAAGCTTTATTGCCCAGTCTTGGCTTTAATTGGACGACAAGGGTGAAATGCCGATCTGTAAGTTGGGTTATTGTGTCTCGCAAACAGGGAAAATCACCCCGAGTCAGCATTGCGATGGGAGCTAGGGAGGTAGGGGGAGTATTTGCCCCGAGTGCAACCCATTTTGTAGGTCGAGGATCAGCCTGAATGGCTGTTGTGTTCCGAATCTGACATGAAAAGAGCCGATCCTCACTTGCAGCGTTTGATGGCGTCCAGTATTTTGATCCCGTCCCAAAGCCTCGGCTTCCCTGTGCGACGTTGCTGCAGCCACCGACTTCCACGAGGTTTGTTGATCACGAAAATGGAATCATCATAGCGAGTCAAAAATACTTTCCAGTACCGAAGCTTCGGAGCTCTGCTGAGAGACGAACCCTGAACCCTCCAGCGTCTCCGCCCCCGCCCTCAAAGCATCGTGAATGGGCTTGTCATCGGAGGTGGCAGCGCAACGCTGACTAGTGCTGATCTCGTAGTCCCGGGAGTCACTACTTAAAACAGAAGCGTAATTGAGCAGGTGATTAGTGATTATATCATTCCCCCATTTTCTTGGCTGACACAATGCAACACTAACACTCCAGGTTTTTTGGGGGAATGTCAGTTAGTGACTGGACTGTTCCTCGTTGGTTCTGACGTTTTCTGAGTTCTGATGGATTCTGTACCCGGGAGAGGGGTAAGCTTGATGGCTAAGCTTAAAAGGACCAGCGTCCACTACGTAGCAGTCTTGCTGAGTTTGGGCTGACAAAACATGCAGCGTCATCCACGTGGCAAAACCTTGAGCAGGTGGTTGCGTCGTGATAGGTATTTGTTATAGCTTGGCATCATCACTGTGCCTACTGCCCTTATCAATATGCAGCGTCGATTTGCATCAGTATTATCCCAATTAGTATCGAGTGCGTGATTATTACAATAGCGACCCCAAGGTGATGGATGATCAGAACTACTCAACAGGCACTAATTTAGGTTTGTGTTCACTGTAATCTTCCCCGCTCTCAACTAAACTCGTTAATTGGTGGCCATATCACAACCCCGAGTGAGCACTGCATACCGCCTCCATCTGCCGCACCTCCAAGGTTACATGGTCAAAATCGTCGTTGCATTCCCTCACATGGAATCAAAGCATGGCCACTGAGATTAATCAATACTCGGAATTACGGCAAAAAGGAATGCAACACTCAAAACACCCACTGGTTCATTCTATTGCTGATTGGGAAACCGCTGTTTTACTGTGCCACCGGACATCTTACGCTGCGAGACCCGATGCCTTGTAAGGATTTACCTGTTCTGATACGCCAAGATGCGCCAAGAAGGTGTCAATCGTATCTCTTCCGCAGCATCCGATGCGTGGCTCAGATCTTGAATGTCTGTGCACTACCGTCGTTGCATTCCTTATGCCCGATGGTGGATGGGATATTTTGAATCGAATACACGACGATACACCCTCTGATTCAGAGAATGCACATCATCTATTGGTAGATATCAAGGCATTGTCGCAAGGCTCAAAGATAACTTACAGGCGAGTCTCGATCGACCTAGACGCGTAATGCAACCTGAAGTGTAGTATCGTGTAGTTGAACAAGGTTCACCACGTGCATTCTAGAATTCTCGGCGCCAAGGTAGCCAAACGGTGATGCCAAGCGCCAAGCTGCGTCAATTGTACATCTGTCGGCAGTTGTGCACGTTTTTTTCGGCGGCTTGGTAAGACCCGAGAAGATATTGGAAATGGGAAGAATGTGTTATGGAACATGATTAACAGGTCAGGCTGCTGGCGGAAGGCTACAGAAGGCCCAACAGCATGAGGCGTGAGGAGACTCACTTGAGTGGTTAACCATCAAGCTCGCCTAAAAATGCGACTGAATTCGAATCAGATAACCCAGCAATTTTACTTGGATTATTTTGCCTATGTGGATGCTGAAATAATATCTTGCGGATTCGTCGGCCATCTGACTGGAGACTCGACAGCCTCTCGATCTTGGAACCTATGAACGGCTGTAGATGGAGGCGCGCGCGCCTCAAGAAGAGATCTGATCCCCAACAACTCTAAGTAACCTGTGTAAGTGCTGCGTGGATGCACTGATATGCTTTGATGAACCACATGGAACCTTGTATCGACCTTGATGATTCATGATGGCTGTATAGACTTTTTGGGCAAATAGGTTTTAGCCATGATCAAGCATCATACAACGGTAGAGACATGAATTCTTTTAAGGATATACTTTGACCTTTGCATTCTTTTCATTTATTATAATTTTCTATCCCCTTGTGACTGTGCCCAGGGAACTCCGCTCAACCAACCCACAAACCGGCACCAGCCAAAACACCTGAGAATGCTATGCAAATACTATAATTATCATAACCATGGGATCATAACGTTCATAAATGATTGAAACGAAGTGAATTCTCTCCTTTTCCAACTCCTCCCAAACTCCCTTTATGTCTTCAAGATGTTGGCGGCAACAACAATACCACGCGCAGTCTTCTTGACCCATTCTTGAGCCACAGAGAAGTCACCGTCCTCAGCATACTGAACACCCTCGGTGATACCAGGGAAGGTAACGGCAGCGTAGCCAGTGTCGAGGCCAGGAGCATTGACAACGTGCTTGTAGAAGTCGCGGTCCGGCAGGCCGCCTTGAGAAATGAAACCTCGCTGGAAGTCGCGGTACTTATGGTTGACGACTTTCTTAAGGACATCATCGTCGCGCTCACGGGCTAGGTTCTCAAGAGCCTTGACCTCATCAGCACTCTTCTTGAAGTGCTCAATGGCTTCGTCCAGCTCGCTAAGATCAAGATCGGCGTCCTTACTCTCGGCATACTCTGAGAGGTCCTCGAAGTATGCACGAAGCTCCTTGGCGTAGTTCTGAGTGTCGAATGGAAGGATATCATCAGTAGCCAGGTGGTAAGCCAGCAGGGAAAGATATTGACCCTGAGCCGTATGGACATGGAATCCGGGGTCACCAAAGGTCGACATCCAGTGATAGGTGTCGTAGTTGGAGTGATAGTGCCAGATGGGGTCACCAGCACCTCCACTGCTTCCAGTATCAAGAGAGCTGATACCACGGTGGAAAAAAGCTGTGTAATCAGAGCCAGAGCCGAGGATCTCAATATCACCCTCACTGGCAGCATGCCAAGCGTCATAGAGCGATTGATTGAAGCCACCAAAGTTGGGATCAACGACCTTCTTGAGAACCTCAGTAGCAAAAGTATGAAGCTCAGGTGATGCGCCAAGGTTAGGTCGAGGACCGCTGACGGCGACATCGATGTTCAGATATGAGACGGCGGTGTCAGTGAGCCAGTTGACGTGCTCCTCAACCCACTCAGTAGAGCCAATGATGCCCCATTCTTCAGCATCCCAAGATGCGAGAACAATGTTTCGCTTGGGCTTCCAGCCTGAATCAGTGAGCTTCTTGAATGCGCGAGCAAGCTCAATGAGGATCGAAGAACCAGAGTTGGGATCTCCGTTACCGCCCTATACAGTCAGTGATGAACTTTATGAGTATCTGATTGCGGCATTACTTACGACCATCCATGTATCTCTATGGTTTCCAATGATGATGGTTTCATCGGCATTGGTTCCGTTGATAACGCCAATGACGTTGTGTACTGGCTCGATGGAATCACGAGAGACGGTGCTGAGAGCGAGCTTCACGCCAGGCGCAGGGCCAGAGCTGTAGTCAGCATCGAGGCCGCCTGTCCAAGCAGTGCGATTGACCTTCTCAGCGGTGACACCATGGCCATTGAGAGCCTGCAGCAGAGGCTGAGCGGCCGAGTAAGAAATCGGCAGAGCTGGGATCTTGGCAATGACCTCGGAGATATCAGCTCGAGGGGAGTCCTTCTTCGAGGGGTAGCCAGGAGTTGTGGGATCGCCGGTACGGGTAGACAGGAATAGTGTTGAGCCCTTTTGGACAGAGCTGGGGTTTCTGGCAGGGCCATCTGACATTTACTTAGTATGAGCTTTTCAGGGTTGTCATATGAAAAGTCTTACCAGGATAAGCCTCGTAACCGTTGGCAACGGTGATATTTCCATCATCGCCGGGGTCGGTAAAAATAATGGCACCAATGGCGCCGTGGTCTTGGGCATTCTTGACTTTGAGACCACGGAACAGACCACCATATTTGATAAGAGCAATCTTGCCCTTGAAATCAACCCCAAGCTCCACTAGTCGATCAAAATCGTCAATTGAGCCTCGGCTAGCGTTCGAAAATCAGTGATCAGTATCCGGATACATTTGGAGCTTTACTCACCCCGCGTAGACATATTCGGCAGAAGCATTTCCGGTTGGCGAGTAGGCCAACCAGGTCTGCTGTGAAAGCACATCCCAGCCTGTAACATCATCTTCCTCAAGCACCTCCTCCTTGGTGTTCACCTCTGTGGTTGTACCGTTGGGGCCGGTGAAGTAGAGAGATGAACTGACTGGATATCGGAGGAACACATGGTACTCGGCCAGATGCGCATCAAATCCACTCTCGGACCAACGATCAGCGGTCCACTGGGCAGCTTCTTTTCCATAGCCGGCCAACTTATTCTGGTGGCCGTAGTAGTCAGACCACTTGTCAATGGATGAATTGTCAAAAGAATTGACAAGGAGAGTTTCTTGCTCCGTCAAGACTGGAGGCCAATCGGCATTGCGCTTGGTCAGTGGCTGGCGATGTGTATGTCGCTTGCCCAAAACGAGATCGCGCTGGCAAGCAGATGCGCCAGCAGCGAAAGCTGCGATTGTCGAGAGATGTAGGAAATGCATATTGAAGGTTCAATGGCAATTGAACTTCACAAAATTTGGCCTGAGAGGGGAAGTAGTCGTGGAGCAATGGGAAGCTTCGGATATAAATGCAACTCTCGCAAGCATGACCAGCCCCATTCTGCAGTGTCATGTTACCTTAGAATGGAACCATTGCATAAACAACACTTAGGTCCTTGGTATTCCCAACAAACAGGATCCCATCTCGGGCCAAGCTCGCCTTTGATTTGCCAAAGCTCTTATCATGATGGATGAACTTCCCTTCCCAGTCAGTAAGCTTACGATCCTGAGCTCGGGATAGCTCTCGCGAATGTCGTCATGCCTTGCCGTTGTAACCCTCTTGGGAAGCTCCCCAGGTTTGGCCAATGGCTGGGCTGGCTTGGCTACTTGGCTTTGCTGCGGGGAGGGATCGGCGTGTGTATTCACCTGCCTGATGGGGTTTGATGGGTAGAGATTCTTGCGTAACGACTCTCTTGGACGTGGGATAATAAGCTTGACTTTTGAGTAATCAAGCTTAACGTTTCCCCGCTCCTACAGGGAATCGGCTGCCCGAGTCATCGACAGGCTGATGTCGGCAACATGGTTGTCTTTTTCATCAGTTATCGCGTGCTCAGGCAGTACATGTCACTGAGAACCCAGGTCAGCAAGATGAAATACGCGACACGCCTTTGTGCAGCGTTGGAAATGTGTGACCATTAGAAGCCTGGATGATTGTCACGTCACAGCTCACGATGGAGGTTGGGCATGTAACCCTCCAATGCCGGCAGTTTGTGGATCAATTGAGGACACTAGGGAACTAGCTTGCGATTGAGTTCATCTGAATCAGTTGACAGCAGAGGTGGCGTAGCGGAGACCCCATTCCAAGTACAGAAGTTCTAGAAAAAGTTGTCTGGTGCAAAGAAAAGACGGCTTGGGATAGGCAATCAATCGCATGAGAACCAGGCACTGTATTCCGTGGGCAAAGGACATTGGCAGTAATCAGATCAGTTAGCCGATTAACGAACTGTCAGGTTGATACTGCGGGAAAATCACTCTCGGATAACAATTCTGCCAGAGTCAAATGAGCCGATACAATGAGGGAGCATCAGCCAATGACAGCACGGATTTGCTGCTAGAAACGAGTAAGAAATGAATAAAAAAACCGTAGGATGCATTTATGGATACTTGATCACTTCCCCTTCACTGGGTTCCAATTTCTCGATTGGCAATTCGGTGTAGCTCATGGTTCTTGTAAGGCATATTTGATCATGACCCATGCATGCAAGGGCTGCGCCGCAGCGACAACACATCAAAGGCAGCAATTGCCTCAGAATCAATGGCAAAGTCCAAAGACGGCGAAAGTGAAACAGATAAAATGGAAATATTGACAAAAAAGGAAGAGTCTGCACTATTTATGGATCACTGCCTCTCTCTGCCTAAAAATCACTCTTTTTATTGGCTTGAGCTCATGCAGTTGGTACACCCTCGTCCCCGAAGCTGTTGGTTCTGAACCAACATAACTTCTCGATACGGATTAAGTCATTCTAACATTCAATTCTCACCGCAAATATCTCGGCTGATAAAACTTCGATTTCAAGACGATAAAATTGAGATTAAAAACGCTCAAAAAGCCCAAAGTGCAGATATGTGTCGATCTGTTTGTTTCCATGATTCTCTTTGTCGCGAGGCTGAGGGGCCAACTTCAGAGGCCTAGAGGTTTCTGAGAGCGCTTAAGATTCATAGACGTTTCTCCCCAGGTTTCGACTTGGCCGGGATGTTCAGCTGAGGCAGAATTGACCTTAAAATCAGGCAGAGGCCTCCCCTCACAGAAATGCATTTCTACTCCTTCAGTATCTTGGCCTATTAGTATCTTTTTGTGCATACCCTCGGATCTCAACTCCAAGCACAACTTTGCTTTTTCAACTCACATTATTCTTTAACAGTTGCTATTAACCATGAGCAAGGAGAAGATTGGTGACATTCCAAAAATAACCCCTCTCCAAATCGCATTAGGCTATCCGCGGTCCGATCCTTCCAGCCGATTCTTCGTGCAGACTTATAAGAAATTTATTGATGGGTATAAGACCCGCGATGGAGTGCCTGGGGTTTCTCTGATTAAGTGGAGCGATGCAAGACAGAGAATTGAACTCGAGAATATGGCGAAGAGATTTGTAGTCATAGAAGGCCGAGGACAGCAATTCTGGCCAGCAAGTCAGGGCTCTTCTTCTGGGGACTCACTGATCTGGGGACAGGATTCAGAAAGGTTGAAACCCCAAATTGTTGCAAGAATATTTTACTTACCTAGTATCAGAATCGTCAAGCTACTTACTCAACTTTTCTTTCGCCACAACCAGCAAGAACACCAAAGGAGTCTTAGCTCACCATCCAAAAAGAAACAAGCTGTACGCCACGAGAGGCAGAGGTCCCAAACACTTGGACAAAGGTATTGTGAACTTTTAAAATCTACACTCTAGCTAACATGTTTGTTGTCAGTAACGCCGCGTCAGCTTCAGTTCCAAGCGATGAAATGGACACGGACCCAGGGAACGAAGTCGATTCGGATGATGATGCCAGCCTTCCAGATATAGACCACATTCGTTTACGCCCTATGGGACCAGATATTCATGTAGGTGGTTTTCTCGGTGCTAGCACATTTACCCTTCGACAGACATGATGCATAAAGGGTATCAACTGACTATACCAGACCTCATCGGCAGGCAATAAGAGCAACACTACACCGCCACCTCAAGCGTCCACAATTGCCACAAATACTCCGAGCAACACTGCAATCTCTCCTGAACCAACTGCCCATGTTGCTCAGATGACTGAACGCATAGAGGCTACCAGCGTAGCGGAAACAATCGCTCGGGCTATTGACGGTTTTCCCGAGAAATACACATCATCAGGCCGCAGCTGCCGGCCAGTCCAACGTCTTAATTTTGTTGAAACACCAACCTTTGATACGGAGGATGATTCTCAATCCTTGTCACCACCTCCAAGTCGACAGAGCGATCCGGGATCTCGGGTTAGTCCAGAGCTTGGAACAGAGACTGCTGGGGCTTCTCATGTCGGGACCTCGCAAAATCCTCGAGCTACTTCAGAGCCAATGTCCTTTGACAGGACTCATCTGGTTACCGAAGACATAACCCCTGTACAAGAGGCAGATCAGGCGACCAGTGCTATGCCTCCACCTCCTCTCCCTCAGACCACATATCGAACACCAGAGATCACCACTAGGAGACCAAGATATAGCATTAAATACAGTATCGAAAAGTCACCTGGAAACCTCAAGCTATGGGAACATCACGGTAATTTCGACAGCATGCCAATGTCGGAGTTTCAATTTATCCATGGCTTCGATGATATTGACGCTGTTCAATTTGTTGTTCAGCGCGAAGGTAGGAGTTGGGACGATATAGTTCATAAAAACGACGATGTTGAGTTTCAAGATATGAAGGTTCGCTTCAAAGGCCTAATCAGAAATGACCTGGATAGGCTTGGCCCCAACAGCAGCTATGTTCCATACGATATCTGGATCACACCAATTAGGAGTTCCGAAACCGAGGAGAAGTATTTTCGAGAGCAGACGATCGCCTTGTGACCGTCGTCAGGGTTGATCGAAGGCGCAGTCTCTTCAGAGGATCATTTCGGGTCAGGAAAACACTCTTTTAGCAAGCGATGTTTCTTCTGGTGGCTTTTTGATTTCTTAGTATAGCACAGTTCTTCTTGCCAGTATTTCCTAGACGATAAATTGATACCCCCTTACTGTGAACCCCGTCATGAAAACCTGGAAAATAAAGAGTGTCTTTCTCTAGCTTATGACCAAAGTCTTTCTCAAAGCTCCCGGTCTTTAACCAACTTACGAATGGAAGCGATAGTACCCTCCACGGCTCCTTTAGCCATCTGAAATGCCACGTCAGTTTCGGTGCTCTAAAAAGTAGACGCAAAGACTCACTTTGAAATACTTCTCACGTAGCTTCTTGTCCTGTTGGCTCTCTGCCTCGACCTCTGAGTGTCGCCATTCAAAAGCGAAAGTCAATATCAGGTTGTCCTCTGGGTCGACACTAATGAGGTTGAAGATTCTGCTGCCATCAGGTTGATAGAAATCGACACGCGTTGGTGCAAATTCATAGACAATCTCCTCAACAACAGTGTCATCTTTGCCTCGCGCTTCTTTGTCAAACGTGACTTGTCTGATGACCTTCGTCCCTGCTTCTACTTCTTCTTCACTAAGAACGTTGCACTCAAGAATGGGAGCCACGAATTCGTTGGCCTTGCGGACTTTGCGCTTGAGGCCATTCCAGACTTGAGCTTCTGACAAGATGGGAGACACACCGCTGGGGTTGATGGGAACGCTGTAGGCTAGATTTATAGTGACCATTCTTAAGGCTTTCTTCTAAAAACTCAACACAGTTAGAGTTCTGAGGCTGATAGATGATCAGTACCTGATTGCGATGTGCGTGGAGTCGGTAGTTGCAACTTGCTAAGGATAAATCACGCCTCCACTTTGTATCATGATCATAGACTGGGGTGACGTAAGACTCTGCTTATTAACGCTTTTTAAACTAATAAATATCGTGATATACCAAGATTAGCTACATTTCGCTCAATCTTCTAACCTCTACTGCTTTTCAAATTCATCAATCTTTTCCTCGTGCACTGCTTTTCCTTGGATCTCCTCTGTAACATCTGGTCCTCCCATTCCAAACATACCCTTGAAGACACGAACAAGGCTTTGTCGACCTTCCCAAAGAGGGAACAGACCAACTGCGATGGAACTGCAGAACAGCCAGAGGATACCAACAACAACCCAGCCAGTGAAGAAGGGCTTGGAGAAGACATAGGATGTTCCATACATGGGCATGGGCCAGAGAATCAGGAAAGCGATTGTCATGCAGACAGTCATCGTCTTCGCAATCTTGGAGGCCTTGTTGAGCTTGGCCATGTCTTCCTCAGGAGCAACGGCAAAGCTGGTTACGACAGCACCTTCGGAGTCAACGTTGGAGTCGCTGGTATCGTCAGCCTGCTTAATAGCAGCCATAGAAGCCCAATCATAGCTGTCCGAGCCAAAGCCGAATGTGAAGAGCGGCACGAAGATCAGAGGACTCAACAGAGCAACAACGTTGCCAGCAAGCATAGGGTTGTTGGAACCGAGGTTGTCAACGCTAAGAACACCATCAAACTCCTTGGCGCAGGTGACAGTCCAAGCTATGAGCGCACAGAAAAGACCAAGGACGGGAGATGCCGCGGCAGCAATCCAGTTCTGGCGCTTCCAGAGAAGAGTCAGCGTAGCGGGGATGACAGCTGCGGAGATCATGACACCCATCCAGAGGTACAGCCAGCCCATGCTGATACCAGCATAGTGGAGGCCAACACTGAAACTGGCCATGATTACACCGTAGAGGCAGACAGTCGTATGCGAGACACCAATAAGTCGGCCACCGGAAGCTTGGGGGTTGATGTAGGTCCTGGCGAAACGTTAGCATGAGATATAAATTTTCGTACAGGAAGAATTTACTGGTAAACATCATAGGTGAAGATGGAGGAAACAGCGATGAGCTGAGCCGAGGTCGCAGAAGTGACAGCCATGAAGATCATGATCAAAGTGCAAATAGCACCAGTCTTGCCCAACAAGCCAACAGCAGCGTAGGGCAGAACAAGACCGGCCGAGACATCAGCCGGGTCCATCCGGTTGGGGTACGTAGGGAATGCAGGGTTGGTCTCGAGGGCCAAAGCACTGAGACCCATGGTAGTCGCACAGAGCCAAGGGATAGCGAACCATGAAAGGCCGCCAATGATGTATCCAGGGAGGGCGGCGACAGGGTGGGCGGCGATAGCCTTGTTGTAATAACCGTTATCCATGAAGACGGTGCCAAAGTTGCCAACGATGTTGATGACGAAGAAGATGATACCCTCACGAGATCTCATGGTGAGGTATGAACCCTCAGCATTACCTTCAACGGGATGAGAGGCGGCGGCCTTGGTGAGCGCATCGTAAACTTCGCCAGGTGATCCGAGTTCGCTGCCGGTCGCGTAGGCAGTGAGCGCAAAGATGAGGATGATGACGAGAATAATGACCGTATGGACATAGTCTGTCAAGAAAGTGGCCTTGATACTAGGTCGCGGGTTAGGCCTATTATTTCATCAAAATCGATTTCAACTTACCCTCCGAACATGGTGTACAGAACAACACCAAGAGGCAGCAGGAAACATGCTGCAGCGGTGTGCATGCCAGTGAGAGAAGTGACTACAGCAGAGCCACCAGTCAAGAGCATGGCAGTGACGAGAATGTTGGTGAAAAGACCGAAGCAAATGTAGACGCAGTGAGTAATGCGGCCATATCGAGCTCGGATGACCTCAAGGAAGGTATGCGCGTTAGGGGCCCTTCTCTTCAACTCAATGGCAATGGTCGCGAAGAGAATGATCTGAACGGTAGCACCAGAAGCATACTTTGCGATTATTAGCCACAGTTCACGATTCGCGATTCACAGACGGTCGACTCACCCAGAATGGTCCAGAGACACCATATCGGTACGCAACACCAGATGATTGGAGGAGAGTAGCAGCCCAAGTCCAGCTGGAAACAACAGCTGAAGCAACAAGACCAGACTTGACCGTTCGGCCAGCGGTGTTGAACATTTCCGAGGTCTGCTTCTCATGGTTATACCGCTTCAAGACCCATGTCGTGAAGATCATGCCCAGGGCAAAAAGAAAGCCGAGACCAACAACGATGCCATAGCCATAGGCCTGGCTCAGAGGAGGCTCGACTGTGCCGGATGAAGGACCGCCACCACCAGCCATTGTGATATATTTGCAGTAAGGTTGGTGTTTGGTATTCAAGAGTCTATCACGAGAACATTTGCCACAACCATTTTCATTGAGATCTTCATCATTGTTATATACATCCAAGCACCACAGCCGTTTTGCAAAACCTAAGATAATGCGATGCCGGATCATGCACCCCTGTCAGTCAGATTATGCACCCCCACTAGACCTAATTAGCTGATGACCTGCAATGTGTGCCTCTGATTACCGTATTGACTAATGAATTCCAGTGGCGTCTATAGGTCAACGCTGGAAAGTCAGTATTTCTGTCCCGATTAGGCTGTGTGACGAGTGCATAATCCAACTCATGGGGGTGCTTGATCCAGCGCCCAAGATAATAAACCCGCCGTTCAAGTGCCGGCGGGCCTCTCAGATAAGCCATTCCCGGGTGAAGCTGCACGATAAGAAATTCCCCATGGGGGCAATGATAACAACGCACGGACGCAATTGGCCAAGAACCCCAGCCTCGAATGCGCCCTTATCAGTGCAAACATTGAAGCGAGGGAATAAGAATCGGTTGATCACTGGCCGGCGGCCAAGCGACCTGCAGGGCGGTATCTTGATAAGAAAAACAGTGGCCGCTACAGGGCATTATTCATTAATTGACACATCAGTGGACGATGCAGCACTGCTGCACCGCGGAGGTGTAGCACCTAAGCCAAACCCTTTCAGAGCCTAGAACATGGGAAATTCAGCCTTAATTGAATGTGTATCTCAATCCTCAGAAATATCCGCATCGAGATAACATTTTTGAGGTTTTGGACATGTGATCACTCATTAAAGTGTCTAGGATTGGTTCATATGCGATCAATTAAAGTGCTACCCCACGAAAGTGACGGGTGCAGGGACCCGGGTTTATCATTCCGAAAAACCAGCGTCATTGATTGTAATAATGGTAAGCTCTTCGCAATCTTTGCAACCAAAAGTAGGATTGAACATTATTGACGATAGCCTACCGTTGACTTGGGGTGAGCTGCTGGCTGTGAGCTGATCAGACTGACAAACTTCGGCACCCCGACTTGGGTATTTTTATGCAGTCATCACCAGCAGAAGAAATCCTCAAAGAGATATGGTTTTGACCCGATAATGAGATACCGGCGAAATTAGTCGCTGATAGGAGTCCATATTAGTTTGAAAAGCGTCTTATCAAAGATTATATATCCGTTCATCTTACCTTAAAATACTGCTGGTTCTTGCAATTCGTAGGCTCGATGGCCTACAATTACCCTGCAGTACAACATTGTTCAGCAGAGGCAGTACAGTGTGAAATTGACAAATCAGTGGGTCTAAGAAGTCTATCTGTCGCGGATTATCAAAGATCCGACGTAATATGCATATCGTATTCTTATCTTATCTCTCATCGCTACAAAAGGGGCCGTGAAACTCGGCCAGCCACACTGTACAGTTAAATCGCAGCACAACCTGCATTTTCCTGCCCTAATAACCTTCATGTCGTACTTCTATATGATAAACTGTGACAAAGATAAGTGGAGTTACTCTGAGATTCAAGAAGCAAGGTAGCGTACCGCAATCGTATAGAAATTGCTTGTAATGTTGGAACCGTCACAATACTCAGCCCCAAGACCAACAATTGTATCTAGGATCTTTACTGAAAGTACACGACATCGGGGGAATCAAAGGTTCCGAACTTGAGCGTACGCCATTCTGTCACTATTATCGGATTCTCTTACAAAAAGGCTAGCAGCAAAGCCGGCCGTGCGACACGCGTCACTTCCAATTCATTTTGGCAGTTCTCAATGTCATGGCTTAAACGAGTTCCATCAACGTTACTAGCATAAACCCAGTTGTAGTTACCGCATTTCTGTGAATTGTAACCTTAGAGGACCTTTGGGAGTGCTTTGAGTCTTTTTTGCAGAGATCAGTCATCAATACTAGATTTGTTCGTAGTAATCCACAGTGGAAGCCATAAGATCGGAGGAGTTTGTCAGTGAAGAGAGTGAGAATGGCCTTCTCTCGATAAGTCCACCTCTTGAAGCTTCCCAAGGCGTTCACAGCCTTTCGTGGCAATCAAGTACTGATGATGATGCGTTCTCTATGAATCCCATTTCAGCCTAAAAGTGACAGAATCGGCACGCATCAGACGGATCTGCAAGTGCCGTCATGAGACCTCCTCCACGTACCTGGAATTCCCCTGCGTCAAGACCTTTTAGACCAACGGCTCCAGCTCTTCCGTCTTGGGTAAGACTGGCGACTTTATGCTGCCCAAGGTTTGAGTGGCATTCCTCATTGGCGGGCACGGTGGGTTACACAGCCCAAGGCCAGCAATGTAGTGGATTGTCTCGCATATGTGAATGACGAATGCGCAACTCGCTTTGGTCTGTCGCTAAGGCTAGAAATGTCACATCGCGCCCGTTATTTGGTCGTTGAGATTTTGAAACGCTTGTAGACTAGACCGAGTTTGTGGATGACGCGGTGCTTGGAATGCAGATGTTCCGGGAACGGCCAAAACCCATCACCATATTCAGCTGACACCTCCATTCTGCATCTATTGAATACCCGTCAAATGCAGGAACTCAGACCAAAGTGATATTATTCGTGGAATTCTCAGGAACTTGGAGTGATGATTTCATGAGCAACAGCTCTCCAGGTCTGCGGGCTCCTCTCCGCTGCTAAGTCGAACTCTATCAATGCAACAATTTGCCTCATATTCCCTAGAGAAAAGTACCAAGGAGCGTTGGTAACGGGAAACAATGGCATTGTCTCTCCCTTGCGTTGTGTGTCGGAAAACATTATTTATTGAATGCTTTAACAAGGGATTGTAAGAACCACTAGCCGCAAGCATCTGAGACATCACGATCTTGATCCAGCATAACTACCGAGGGGCCAGACCACCAAAATGCATAACTCCCAAGCATTGAAAACAGAAGAATGGTAGCTGAAATGTACCTCCGTAAAAACCATGTGAGAAAATTAGCTTTTGCCCCTGGGTACTTAAAGTTAAGTTTGGCATCCTAAATAAGGGTCTTCAGGGTCGCCGATCTCACGGATTGTGATCTATCCGCAACCCAGTCCCATCCACGCCACTCATCGACGTCAGAGAAGTTCCCAACTTTAGGTGACTGGATCATCATAGAAGAATCTTTTTGAAGTTTATATAAGGACCAGGAATCAGGCATTCTTGAAACATATCCCCAACTATCACGCCACAGAAACATACAATCTATCCCAAGAATCTTCAACTCTCAGACGAAATGCATTTATCAACTCTTTACCTTCACTCTTCCCTTCTACTAGCTTCATCGTTTCTCTCAACGGTGATTGCAGCACCTTCCAACAAACTCCTGGACACTGACCTCGCTGTCAATGGCTTTGGTCTTCAAGACGAGGGCAGAGACTCTGATGATGTTTCCGCAAAGGCCGAAGTCAGCACTGATAACGACTACAAGGTCCCCAATGATTACAACAAGCCTCGTGTCCTAGAAGCCAATATTGACGTCACTCGATTGGGCCTAGATCCCGTCATCTTTTATCCCGATAACGATGGTGAGGACATAGAGGTTGAGGACACTGATGAAGAGAAGCGCAGCATCTTTGCAAGGCTCTTCACTAGGGCTTTGACTTCAGATAAGAAGGAGGCTCTACGCCGCCACAATGTCGCTCGCTCCAAGGTTAAGGTCAAGGCTATTGTGTGGGATTCCAAGCTCGAATCAGCTGCTACAGCTTATGCTAAGAAGTTGGCCAAGGCTGGCAAGCTGCAGCACTCTGCAGGAAAGGACCGTCCCAATCAGGGTGAGAACCTCGCATATGCTTGGGCAAGCAATGGATTTAAGAACCCCATCACTGCTGGTGCCCAGGGCTGGTATGTTCACTCTCACTTAGGATGATATACAACTGACCAATGGTATCAGGTTGAACGAGAAGAAGTACTACAAGGGTGAGACCATTCCCAAGGGTAACTTCTCCATGTATGGTCACTACAGTAAGATAATGAACCCGTCTCATCTCACTATACATGACTAACTGTTCGTCAGCTCAATGTGTCTGGAAGACCTCAACAAAGATTGGCATTGGTGCAGCTAAGGACTCCAAGGGTGCTTGGTACACTGTCGCTCGATATTCCGGTCCCGGCAATGTTGTCGGCCAGAAGCCTTATTAAATAACAAAACACCGACTTGAAAATACATAACTGGATCGAACATCTGCCAGGGGCAGTTGAGAAGGATCTGATGGACGTTGTTGGCGAACGCTGACCTGATACCTTCTTTGATTCAACCCATTTCATCGAAAGTGGTTACATGTATTACTATTAGAATACCTCACATTCGCTTACGTGTCACGAATTATGTTAAACAAATCGATTTGTTAAACCATCTGCCTTTTCTCATTTCGTCTTATGTGAATGAATGGAGCTTTCTTAAGTGCTATGCGAACATAAGCGTGCTGACATTTGTGTGTGTGTATGTCGCAGTTCAGCTATAGAGACATATGATAATTCTATAAAACTCACAAGTTTTGATGCTCTCGGTAGTTTGCCAATATCTTGACTTTACAACATACGGTGATTGATCTGGAGTCCGTTGAAGGCGCGGGGTCTCACAATGATTGTGACATCCGTTATCGGGATCACGCAAGAGCCTCAGCAAGTCATAACTCGATTTAGATCCTGCTATTGCCGAAGGCGTGATTATTCGTATCTTAAGTGGCATCAAAGACACGAAGGCGTGATTGGACATGCGGGGTTTCGATAACATAAATATCGAAGCGATTCGAACTTGGAATAGGTTTACATGACGGCATCTGCAGATACAGCTCAACTGACAACCAATGCAAGTCTTTCATCTCCTCAGAATTTAAAACAAAATCTCTAATTTTGATCTGGCTTATTTCCTTTGTAGCCACCATGGCGTCCACCCCAGCAACAAATGAGAGTACCACCGACAACCGTAACAATGAATTCAAGAAGAAAATCATCATCAATGCCTTTGACATGTCAACAATTGGGCACTTATCACCAGGTCAATGGAAGGTCAGTATTACTACACTCTTTGTATTAGATTTATTATGAACACAAATAGAATCCGGTAGACAAATCAGCCACCAAGCGCGATCTCCAGTATTGGATCGACCTAGCCCAGCTGCTTGAGAAGGGAGGTATCAACGCTCTCTTCCTGGCAGATACCTACGGCGGTTACGACACTTATGAGGGAAAATTGGATAATTGCATTCGTCGTGCAGCCCAATGGCCCATGACAGATCCAACTATTCCCATCAGTGCCATGGCAGCTGTGACGAAGAACCTGTCTTTTGCCATCACCGCTTCAACATCTTTTGAACCGCCTTTTCTGCTAGCAAAGCGCTTCTCATCATTGGATCACTTCACTAGAGGAAGGATCGGTAAGCATTGAATGGCAAAATAGCATACATGAGGGCTAATAATTTGGAAGGCTGGAACATTGTCACAAGTTGGAAGAAAGCGGCCTTTAAAGCCATTGGCCTGGACAGTCCCATTGCTCATGACGAGAGATACGAACAGGCAGATGAGTACTTGCGTGTTCTATATAAGTATGTCGCCCTTGTTGTTTTGCATAACTTGATACTCAACTTAAAGCAGACTCTGGGAAGGCTCTTGGGCGGATGATGCCATCTCCCCTGATCCAGAAAATGACAGTTATGCGGATCCCGACAAGATCAGGACCATTCACCATCATGGCAAGTTTTTTGACTTGGACACTCGCCATATTGTTGACCCTTCGCCTCAACGTACGCCATTCTTGTTCCAAGCTGGTACTTCATCGGCTGGTCAGACGTTTGCGGCAACTCATGCAGAAGGCATCTTTGTGTCTTCCCACTCACCCAAACTGCTCAAGCCCAAGATCCAAGCAATTCGCAAGCAGGCTGCTGAACTGGGCCGAGATCCTCAGTCACTAAAGTTCTTTGCGACTTTCACTCCCATCGTTGGCCGCACGGATGAAGAAGCGCAGGAGAAACTCAAGGAACTAAAGAAATACGCCTCGACTATTGGTGGACTAGTTCTTGTCAGCGGATGGACTGGCATCGACTTGTCCAAGATCCCGCTCGATCAAGAGCTCACCTCTGCGGACTCTCTAGAGCAGCACAAGGTTCAAAGTCTTCTTGATGCATTCACTGTCACTAGTGAACATGTTCCAAAGTGGACACCAAGAGTTATTGCCGAGAAGGCAGGCATCGGCGGACTGGGCCCAGTCTCTGTTGGTAGCCCTCAAACTGTTGCTGATGAGATGGAGCGTTGGATCAAGGAGGGAGACTTGGATGGATTCAATGTTGGCTACGTCACTACGCCTGGAACTTTTGAGGATCTGGTTGAGTTATTGGTGCCTGAGCTCCGAAGAAGGGGTTTATATCATGAGATACCCAGTGAAGGGGGCCATACTCTGCGAGAGAATGTCTACGGAATTGGTCAATCCAAGCTTCGGGATGATCACACTGGGTCAAAGTACAAGTATGACGTGTTCAAAGAGGAATAGTCTTCGGTCAATGGCATAAATGTTCAGCTGCTGGCAATGCCTTAGGCGTGCAGTCCACACGGCAAAACACAATCCTCATCCTACCCCAAAGCATAAGGATCCAGACTCTGCGACCTCGCCTCATATCAATATCTTACCAATCCTTAGATTTATAAGCGCTCGTGATGAGAAGATATCCGACCCAGCCGCCCTATCCGAGGAGATCCTAGGCATGAGAGTGATTCAGGAACTGTTTCATTCATTGTCGCAAGGCCATTTACCATGTCCCCCAGATGTTTCAATCTTTCTACATTATATTCACTAATACTGTTGGTGACAGAAGTTTTACCCTGATGAGAAAGGATAGGGCCAAGGCTGGAGATGATAGATTGTTGCTGAATGGTGAGGTCACCAGGCACTGAAGCTTCAACAGGGGTCCAGGGGCCGTGCCGCCTGCTAGCAGCTGTCAAGCGAGTGGATGCCACCGAAGTTTAGGTTGCTGGTACGAAGTTGACGTATTCATTCATTGAAGCTACCTTCGTTACTCTGCAAATACAGTCGCACAAGTAAATCTTCCGGGTTTGACATGATAAACTGTAGGAAATTGTTTGCCATCCATGTGATTGTCGACCTGACGGCCATTACTCAAACGATCCTCGTTGACCTGGACCTGTAAGCCTGTGTGGCCTAAAAATCTTCAACCCCCGCCTCATTAGCTCCCTTCTGTAGGCTAGGGTACAGAAACACTACAGTTACAGAACCTTAATGCGTCGATGGAACAAGTTTTGCAACATTATGCCACCATTCTGTGCTCCTGAGTTGGTTCGAAAGCTTTCATCAGATTCTTGTGACAGGATCGCTAAGAATTGGTCAGCCAACAACAGGTGATCGCATATCGCAAGACGCTCTAGAAATTATTTGGGCTTCCCTGAACCCGCTGTGACGCAGTTTAGGTTGGTGCTTACCTTAAGGTAGTTATAGCGCCTACAGCTCTGGGTCCACCCGCCACGTTGTGCTGAGCATTGTCTTACTTGAGACACCCGACACGACACTTTCAGTGTTGAGAGGTTCAATACAAGATTCTTGATGGTCTCATTTGTTGTCATGACGTTTGTCAAGTTTCAGCAGGATCACGATCGACCAAAATATAACGGATAGTTGTAACGCCGAACTGTCTTTCACATGCGCTCAGCTTCGAAGGCGCCGATTGTGCCGGGAGATCAGCTCATTCACTGCTGAAATAGTGGTTAGCACCTCGCCAACAACAACAAGCCTCGGCACTCAACGTTTGTGAACGGTGGAACCGTCTGAGCGTAAAACGATCCAATCAGAATATTCAATGGATTTTCCATTTGAGCTATTCACTGTCGAAAACAGGGTAGGACCAGCAGGTGACATTCTCTGCAAATTTCCATCAAAAACGGTCAAAGATTCCAATGTAGAGTAAGTAAATACAAGTACATAACACCATCACCATGAACGACAAGCATACGAAAAGTCGAGTCGCTATTATAGGCACGGGTCTCGCTGGTCTCAGTAGTGCTTATCTTATCAAGGGAGACCGTTATAGGGTGACGTTGTTCGAACAGGTGCGCCACGTCGTCAACGACAGCCGAGATCCTCGAATCCTTTCGCTAACATTGTCTCTTCCTTCCAGGGCGACAGAATATCCTTCGATTCCGCTTCCGTTACGATCAAGAACGAGAAATACGACGATGCCGAACGAATCGACCTGCCAATGCGGGCGAGCGCCGACGGGTACTACCACAACTTGATGCGCATGTATCAGCATCTACAAATCCCGCTACATCCAATCAAATTCCTTTTTGTCTTTGCAAAAGCAGCCACGAGTGCCGACGGAACAGTCCCAGTCAAGGGAAGCGATAACGAGGCATACTTCATTCATGCGTCGAATTTGCACCAGACACCGCCGCCGTGGCCGGGCAATCGCGGTGTGATTGCGCACTTTATCGAGATTATCTTCCTGATTGTGTGCCAATTCTGGTTCACGATTGCATGCTTCCTTGTCGCGCCGTTGAAGACGACATCTTCCGGATACAGCGAGACTGTCGCCGAATATTTCGATCGCATACGTTTACCCCGACGATATACATCGCGTTATCTGCTTCCGCTTTTGAGCGGTGTAGCGACGTGCACACACGAAGAGCTGCTCCAATTCCCCGCGAGCGACGTCGTCAACTACAAGAAGCTTTCGCATGGCAAGCAGCATTACGCTGTGTGCGGCGGAGTCTCGCAAGTCCAGGCCAAATTAACGGAGGGACTGGAGGATGTCAACCTCAATAGTCGTGTGATTGAAGCTGTGCCTCAGGTCGATGGTACCGTGCTGGTTCGTTGGCAGTCTACCGTTGACGCATCCGGGCGCATCCACGAGCAAGTCTTCGACCGCGTTGTCCTCTCCGTCTCCCCTGATGTCGCTGGCCGTATCTTCAAACCGCTGGGGTCTACATTGGCGAAGCTTCCGACTCGTCAAGTCGAGAGCTCTGTTTTGAAGCCGGAGAAGGCGGGAATCAGCGTCGTCGACGCCGATAACGCAGGCTCCAGCCAATCCATCGCTTGCATGCACCATTCGAAAGACACCTCAGCAGCCCAAGTCTTGACTCTGCGAACAATGTTCACCGACGTGGGAAGCCCTCGCACAGAGGCTCTTCACGCC